GTGGGACTTTGCCTGGGAAGGACACAGGTGGAAAATGCATTAAGGAGCTTTGCACTGGACTGGCTGGGAAAAAGAAATGCCTGTCCTCTTGCAGCTATGCTGATAACACCGCTCTGAAGGACGTCCACCCACTGCCCACCTTCGGGCCCGAAAGGAGAACCCGCTGCCACGTGGTTTCTCCCAGGCCACCTCCATCAGTTCCTCCAGGACAGGAAAACCAACCTGATTTTTCCGCTCTTATCAGAGAGAGAAAGTCATACCATCATGCATGGAAATCTGGAAGTTTTGCCCTTGTTTGTATGGCGGGTAGGACTTCATTTTGGCTTCGTGGAGCCTCCGTGCTGGAGAGTGTTTCTGTACAATGTAGGACTCTTGACACCAGACAGGGATGGGCAGTGACGGATTAGCAGGCTTTAAAGAAGAATTGTAGGCTTAATTTGTCATCCATATGAAGAAGAAGGATTAAAAAATAAGGGCTTTGGGATGAGATAACTAAGTAGAACTGACGATCTTAAATAAAGTGCTGGATTTCACAAGGAGAGAAACAATACCTCATGAGACAAAAGGAAAACAGAAAATACATTCAGAGAAATTCCATCTATTCATCCAATAGTCTTGCAAATTTGTCTGATGTTATCGATGCTTTTTAAAGCCACTGTTTGTCAGAAGAGCCTTCATATGTGATCTCTCTGAATACGTTACAGCCTGCAGGAAGGCTGAGTGACTTGTTCTGTTCCCATATTTATTAAAGTACTTTACCATTTTTCTCAATTCTTTACATGAACTGACATTTCAAGGCTATCCTTTCAGCAAATTGATTACAAATTGGGATAACTGGAACTTCCTTTGATGGCTGATTTTAGGTTTATCATCCTAGCAAATGCTGTTCTAAAGAGACCTTTAAGCTAAGTCAGTTACCAAAAATAAAAGGTCTAACAAAATGGTTTCTCTTTCTGACTTTAAGGTAAGAAAACAGTATGAAGCAAAAGCGATAAAATTAATGAAATAATTTGAAATTTGTCTTTTTCCTAAAATTGAACTGAAAACCTCAAATAAAAATGCTGAAATTCCATCTTATACATGTTGCTTTAAAGGTAGTACAATCCAGAAGAGTTCATCCAGAATTAAAAGTTTCTTTGATAAAAACATTCAAATGAAATCCTTATAACTCTGCTCCTACCCAAGTCTGTTTTTCCTTCACACATGAGATCCCAGTGAAGCTGGCCCAATCTAGGCAAGGCCTTTCATTGACAACGCTCATATGGTAGCAGTGTATCACACTAGCGAAATCTCTGAACAGTTTTAATTCAACATTTCTTGAGTTCTTAGCCTAACTATGGCTTTCTGCCCTTAACATATTTGCAGCTCTATCCTAGATTATCTAACGCCGCCATTGCATGCAATGGCCTCACGTGGCTGTAAGGCTCCATAGGGCAACTTCTTCAGCAAAGCAAACAGGCAATGGCTGAAAGAGGCATCTTCTTTGTTTTCCTTATATGCTTACTTTACCAGCATTAACGGAGTTACAGAATCCCCAGTGGGGCTCTTCACTGATGTATAACATGAAAGATACATAATTTTAGTTTTGTGGCCTCTTTTGGATTCGGTTCTTCCTGTCAGTCTTCATAGATTATCTTCAGATGACCAACATGGTCCTAGTTTGCTTTTAACTTATATATTTCCATATGAGATCTACTTCCTACATACGAGGAAGCAAGAACAGGAGACTGGATTCAGCCTTCCTAAGTCAAGACACTGGTGCAACCTAAGACAGACATCTACTTTTTTGAAGGAGCTGTTTCTGACAAGTCTACTGACTTACTGCTTGTCTTTAATCCCCCCTATATCAGAATGGATACTGAAGATAAGCTTAAAACCCCACAAAACTCCAAGGATTTCCCCCCTTGGTGTCTGGAGAGGACCAGATCTCTTGTGGGGTAAAAGGCAGGATGAACTGTTGTGACTGGCTTCTGTGGGATTGTCTGGGGTGGGCACCACACTCTGTAGGTGTGTTTGGGGTAAGATGGAAATGTTTCAGCATGGGGAGTGGCCATCATACTGCTTGAAAGTCCTGTCTGTGAGATCCCTGAGAAAAGCCTTGCTTCAGAAATGTCAGGACAGAATGTGGAAACATGAGACAGCATAGGTGATAATGTGCATGAGATCCTAATCGTCTTAAGTTTCATGGAAAGACTGACTTCAGTAGGAGCTGGACTGTGTTTTAAATGAATGCTGTGCCACAGCCATCCCCAAACCCCTTTGCTCCCTTAGCTAGGAGGTAATCCATTCCCGAGCAGGTCGGCAAGCCTGGCCGTCAAAGACAGCCGTCGCTCCTCGGTTGACAGCGGTGTCTCGGTGGCAGCGCGAAGCAATGCTGAAGAACTTCTGTTCTATGCGCCTGCCAGAAAAAATGGGCTCAACAGGGTTGTGAAAAGTGCAGCCTGTGGGACTCCTGGCTAAGGCGGCAGCGTGGGAGTGAGTGCTGGTATCTCGGGGCATGTTCCTCAAACCCCAGCTTGTCCAGCCTTCTCACTCGGTTCCCAGGACTGGAATGGTCCGGTCTGGGGAGATTCTTTGTTATTCCCAGAGTGAGATTAAGACACAAATGAGGTCAGATGCCGTAAAGAAAATAAGTTTAATAGTTACAAAAATATTCATATAGATGCAGGAAAGAGAGAGAAGGAAACAAAAAAGGGAAGGAAGAGCGCAATAGCTACCACCACCGCGCTGCAGCGTCCCGTCAGTCTGAATCGACTTCACGTCAGGTGGGGAATTCCATTCGATGCTGGTCATCGCAGCTCTTTTACTGAGGTGTCGTCGCTCCACCTGAGAAGCAATTAGCATCGTCTAACCTCGCCCACCACTCCGCGGTGGTGCACATGCCCAATACCGTCACTAAGGGGGAGTTTCCAGGGGCTTTTTCTGTCCCCGGGTCTGGGCGCACGCGCAAGGGTAAGGTTAGAGTTTTTAGACTCCTCTGTCATCAGAAAATGCGTGGCTTTGTGGTCGAACAGATGCTCTGAGCAGTAGGAGGAGTGGTGCTCCAGCAATCCTGAGACAGGCATCCGCTGGTAGTTTCAACACAGTCCTTTTGACACAGTCCAAAAAAGTTGAGACAGACATTCGTTGGTACAGACATCTATTTTTAGACACAGTCTTTTACAGCCAGTGGCACAGAAAAAATCAACTGTAGAATTGCGCTAATTCGTATCCCGCAGGAAAGGGGTTCCCAAGGCCACCCCAGCAGCTTGGAGGTGGCTGACCCTGCAGCGCTTCTCCTTGCCCAGCTGCTGGGCAGTGGGGATGGCTCGGGACCTGCCCCCAGAATGTTTCCCGAGAAGGCCCTGCAACACCAGGCAGCATTACCCTCCATCAATTTGGTGGGTTTTTATCTTGTGTTTCGAGAATCTAGGGTTTAGCAGAAAGTTAGGACACTCAGAGGGGATTGGGGATGAAATGAGAGCAAAAGTGAGGGCTGCTCTTGGTGTGGTGAGGTGATACCCCACAGGAGGACGCAGAGGCTGGGAACAGAGGAGCCCTGATGTCTCCTTAACTCCTTCCTCTGGTTTCCAGTGTACCAAACGGCAGGGTGCCCTCAGCACCCGCAATAACAGAAGCTGCTCCACCTGACGTAATTTATTTTGGCTCACTACTGGACCAAATCTTCAGCTGCTGCCAGCTGCTTGCTTCAGCTTCACGTTCTACCACCCTTTGGCCAGTTGGGGCTTCCCAAGCTGCCTGGGTGGGACTGGCAGCGTTGGTCATGCTGGCTGCTCCCTGGTGTTTGCAAGAGATGGCAAACATCAAGAGCTTTGCAGCCTTGAGGAGGTCAACGGGACGTTGAGCCTCCAGAGATTTTGGCACTGGAAAAAATCATCAGCAAGCTGGCACAAACTCACCTGTCCCACCACTGGAAGGACGAGCCACCAACGCTAACCAGGTGTCTTCAGCAGGTGTCTCCCAAAGCAATGCCACGGTCAGCGAGGTTGTGGGTGAGCTCCCCGGCACTCGGCCCATGAAACCACCGATTTCCCCGCCACAGGGATTTGTGCCAGCCGGTGGCCTGTCCCCAGCACGACGGCGGCTCACACAAAGCAGGACCGTGCATTCCCACAGCGCTTGTTTGGGGTGGGAGATCTGCTGCAAATTGCCTGGGAGGAAAAGGCCACTTTTTCTTGCGGCAAAGCAGAGTCCTGGGACGGGTCCTGAGCTGCCACCTGCTGCCACAGTCCCAGCTGTCCTGGGGAATTTGGTCTCCTAAGAATTACTGCAAGAGGAGCAAAGCCCTTGGGAAGGCAGGATTGAGAGGGTTTTCCCAGCTTATTTTCTCTGAAGCCTGTTTCACCTCTGAGGACTCCAGGGGCCTGATTCTGCCATCCTGCTGTCAGTGTTATGTGGCCAAACCAAGACGTGAGTTGGTGGGAGAGCACTGAAATGCACAGTGTCTGCAGGAGCCGGGTGTCAGGAGGTATGTACGTGAGAACGGCATCCAGTCCTGCGGCTGCCTTGGGGGAGTCAGTGTTATTTTCCTATTCCTTTACTGCCTCAATGACAAGGCAAACAAGGGGAAAAAAAGGGCTAGAGAGGACTGAATCTCTTCCTTCCTTTTATTTCATCCTTTCACAGATCAAAATCCTTTCATGCAACTCCCAAGCAGGGAAAGCAAGTGAGATGGACTGAAACACGGCATGAGAATGAACTCCATCGAGAAGAAGGGAGGGAAAAAAACAGAGTAGAAATCTTTTGGGTGCAGGCAAACAGGTGGGGGGAGCGTCTGGTCTGTGAAGGCAGGGTGTCTGCAATCTTTGTAGCGATTAGATTTAATGGGACAGAAACGTTTCTCTCCTTCATGTCCCCTCCTCCTCTCAGCCCGAGGGGGAGAAAGGAGGGAGGTGGTGATGGGGAGGTGGCGGGGGGGAGAGAAGATTTGAAAGAGTCTTTGACGTCAGCCCTGCCCTATAAAAAGCTGGCAAGGAGCTGGAAAGCGGAGAGCAGAGCTCGTGGAAGAGCAAAGATGCCAACCCCGAACATCTCCACCTCTGCAGCCAAAGGCTTCCGCAGGGCGGTGTCGGAGCTGGACTCCAAGCAAGCTGAGGCCATCATGGTAAGACAACCCTACCCCACTTCTTCCCCTCCCTCTCTGAAAGCCGCAGCCTCTCCCGTAGCCGTAGGCAGAGGCAGGCAGGGCTAGATGGACCAACACTGCCTTTGTTGGAGTTCCCCCACACGGGCACCTCCGGGCACCAGGCTGGCAAAGGGGAATCACACAAACAGTTCTCTCTACATACTGGTATGTGTGAAAGGCAAACATTTAGGGGGACGAAAGCTTGAACTAATGCGACCCCCACCCCTCCAACCAAAGCAAGGTAAATAACCCCTAGACCTAAGGCAGGAATAACAAGGAATCCCCTGTGTGAAAGACAATTTGAAAATCTTAATGCTTTCCTGGTTTCAAGGCAATAAACTGCAGAGATTTCACCTGTTCCGCATAATGAAAAAGTGTGGCTGTTATTTCAGACAACATATGAGGCACAGGCAATATAATCAGTTTGTTTGCTGCTGCTGCTGCTGCTGCATCTGCAGTTTTGCTCTCTCCCAGCCCATCCTTCCCCCGTTTCTCTCCCCAGCCCTTCCTGATGTGGTCTCAGCCCTGGGTTTAGCCTGGGCAATGCTTCTGCACACACCAGACCTGTATGGGTCAGGGAAAGGAGAGGAAAACTTCCTTTTGTGCTGCCAAGTGCCTTTAGATAGCCAAGTCTGGCCAACCCATTGGACTGGCTGTAGGAACAGGGACATTTCACCTCTGAACCCAAATGCCAGGGCAGGCAGGAGGAACGCAGAGACTCCTGGCATGGGACAGTCCTGTGGGTCAGAGATGTGGCCAGGCTGCTGTGGGCGACCCTGGAGAAGCTGGAGCAGCCGGTGGCAGCGGGTGCACTGGGAGGGGATCTCCTCAGGATGCTCGGGACGAGGAAACCCAGGAATCGAGCTGGGTTAGGGAGCAGATGTGTTTGGCAGATGTCCGCAGGGTGACTCCAGCACCAAGAGCTCCCCATTTCCCTCCCCTACGCCTGCTGCCTTTTTTACCTGCTCTCCTCTTAACTCTCTGTGATGCTCTGACTCAGTCCAACCAGCCACTACATAGGCAGAGAGAGGTGTTTTGGAGTGGAGTGTGCTGGAAAGGAAAGGAAACATTTAGGAAACAAGGAGGTAAGCTTGCTTTCTCTAATAAATGGAAATCAGGGAAGGCTTCCCTCTCACACAACCATTTTCATTCTGGCAAAATAATGAACGCTTAAGTGGTTCTTGAAAACCTGGTATTTTTCACGCTGCTCATCAAATCAGTATTTGAGATGCTCGTTGCTGTCTGGAGAAGGGGAGAGTGTTTGGCTGTTACACACTCTGGGGTGCTGCTTCGTGTTCAATGGAAAAGAGGCCACTGGACAAAGGGGCCAGAGGAATTTGTGCTCACCAGGTGTGCTGGCAGGAGCGTGGCAACCTGCCTGGGGTGAGCGGCTCCTCCAGCCTGAGGCGAACATAAAACCTCAGCCCATCTTTGCGTCCCATCTTTGAATGGAAATTCTCAGAAAAATTAAAAAAAAAAAAAAACAACAAAAAACTGAGCCCTGTGAGGGTCCCTTTGAGAGTGGTCTTCATGAAAGGCTTTGCTCTTTGCTCTCACCTAGCAGAGGACATCTCCACAACCTTGTCACTTAATTTTCTGGCTTCTACAAGGCAAGAGGCATAACTCTGCATTTGTATGTGACATCGCGTGTCCCTGGCCCCCATGGTGTCAGTGTCACCATGGCCACTCGGCCACCCAGCCCCTGCCCATCACCACACCAGCTCCAGCAGGTTTGACGTCTTCCCTTGCCATAAATCCCCAGGGACCAGCACCCTGTTGCAGGGGAAATGGTGCAAACTAGGAGGAAAAAAAAGACCTTTGCAATCCCAGAACTCATCTACACTGGCAGGTTTTTTACATATTGGCTGGGCCAGCCAAACATCAAACTCACAATGGGGAAAAATCTTTGGTTACATATTTAATTTTTCTGCTGTTAATAGTTTTTACAAGACACCCTGGGACTGGAGCTGGAGCAGCATTTGGTTACAGAGCACACAAGCAGAGCCAGGCAGGAGATGGTAGTTGGAGGCAAACCAGCAGGAAGGAGCACCCAGGGAAGCAGGGGTGGGACGTTACTGTCCCCATGCTGCAGGGAGGGAAATAGTCTTTACAATCCTTCCTACTCACTGCAAATAATGAGCCAGGAAAAAAATGCTGAAGTACTTTAACGCAGAACACAGTATTTTTAATGACACTACTCAGGCTGGACACCTTGAGTTGTAACAGACTCGAAGAAGGAAAAATGAACTAACTCTTCATAAGAGGTGAATGACCGTATCAAACTCAGGCCCTGGTTAGGCAAATAAATGCTTTGCAAAATCAAATTAAAGTTCTCACTGTAGCTAGATAGGCACTCAGGGATAGCTAGCCTGCAAGGCAATTCGGAAATACCATGTAAAGGCGCCTTCTGAAGAAAGGAAGGCATTTATCATGAGAGATCAGTTTGGTTAGTTTATATCCCAGATTCCTAATTTCCAGCAAAAGGAGGTAATAGCCTGACGATCGTAGATGTGAGGGGCAGAGGAAAGGATGATGAGATGGCGAGCGTGCAGGCAGGAAGATCCCTCTCAGCCCTCTTCTCCCAAACAAAACTCAGCCCTTTTTTTTTTTTTTTTTTTAATTTACCCACCGCAAACATGCCATTATAGAGCTAAGCAGCTTCCAGGACGCCTTGACAGGGACTGAAATCCCCCCAACTCCTGCCTGCCAGGGGCCACTCAGTCCCAGCACACGGGTCTGACTGGTCGAGGCTGCCTCTCCCGGTGTGGCTTTCCAGTCACACCAGTCTTCTTTCTATTTAAATGCCTCCCAGTTGGATTTTAACCTGATTTACAGCCTAAAAATTGGGGTCTAATTTCCCTTCTCTCCCTGGCTCCAGCTCAGAAGTAAAATCCTGCTGTGCCTCCGGGCACTGTGTGCTAAAACATCCTTGCCTAATGCACTGCCTGGCTTGGGACCGCTGCAGAGCCCCGACACTGTGGCTAGCACAAGGCTGTTTGCCCTGCTTATTGCAGGCACTTCAAAGTAAACATCGGCTTAGCTTTGAACACGGTTCTGATATAAAACACACACTTAAAGCTGAGCACACGCACACAAGATTTTAAAAGTTACGGCTGAGCATACTTATTAGGTATCTTCTCTCTTTGGGTATGAATACCATTAATTTAGACAAGCAGAAATCTGTGCTTATTTGTTAGAAAGTGTTTTTCTATGCCACAAGGAATAAAGGGGTTGAGGATCAGCAAACATAGTTTCAGAGGGGTATCTTTATTAAAAAAAGGACCGGCTAGAAGCGCGTAGGCTGGTGCCTAGACGTGCTGCATTTTTCAGGCTGCATTTATAATGTCAGCTTTCCATTGCTAAAGCATCCAAGATGATTTTCACAGGAAACGTTAGTTACTGATGGTGGGCTTTGAGAATCAGAGAGAAAATGGGCTTAGTAGTTGAGCAGGCCGTCCTTTTAAAAGGAAAACATTCTCCAGATTTTCACAAGGTAAGCAATGCTCTGCATCTATCTCTTTTCTAGATATTTTCGATGTAATCAGAGGGAAAACTGCAGCCAGTCCCGCTCTATATGCAGGTGCTGGATGGCTTTATGTGCTGGTCCTTCTTCAGTGCTGCCCCAGGTTTCTTATAGCAAGTTCTGAGGGTTTGTCATCTGGTTTGGGTATTGAACACAGAAAATTGGAACCAGCTGAGCTGCCTCTAAATGGAAATCTGGCTGTAAAAAGAACAAGAACAAATAAGTTAGTATATGAGCTATTTGTATAACAAAAGAAACAGCAGTGATTAAAATAGTTTATAGCTCACTATAAATATAAACGAGTGACCTAACGTGACCCCAGGCACAGAGTTGCAGCATTTTAGGTGCAATTCCAAGTAAGAGTAATCTGCATGAGTGTGCTGGGACAAAACAAATGTATAGCTCAGCGGGAGGAATTTATTTTCTGGGGTATATGGATGCGGTTCTAATTAGACTTCAGCGGGCAAGCATCCACCTAGTGTCAGAAGAAAATGTCATGTTGGATCCTGGGAGCAGTTTAGCTAAGCTGCCCTGCTAATACACCTGCAAACAGTTCATGTCTCCTGGGTAGGCTGCAGCTGTGGGCTTCAGCTTTATCTCATAGTATGAATTTTCTCAGATGACTTCATGTTTATCTAATGCCAGTCCACCCGAGTTCATCAGACATCTGAAAACTGCATAAGGTTGTTTCTGATTTTTATTTTTTGAAGGATATTGAAAACTGTTGCTAGGGAAGGTGAGGGGACAAGTCTACCCTCCAGTCGTGTTACAAAGATATTTTTACACAGATTTTTCTTAAAGCTCCACATTTCTGAAAGTTCAGCTCTAAAGCCTCAGTCCTCATCACGAGGTCTTCCTCTACAAAGCCAGGCAAGTCAGTTCAACATTCCCCTTCTTCCGCTGCTGAGACAAATCGGTCACACATCCTTGAGCTACCAGGGATATCTCTGAACTCCCCTACAGCTCTATCAGAAGTGTCACTTATTTCTGTTCTGCCTTCAGTCTCCACGGTTCATTGGTAGACGGCAAAGCCTCATTGAAGATGCCAGGAAGGAAAGAGAAGCTGCAGCTGCAGCCACTGATGCTGCAGAGTCTACAGAGACCATCGTCTTCGAGGAGAAGGATGGGAGAGCCATGCTGAACCTCTTCTTCATGCTTAAGGGAGCCAAGACTTCGCCTCTGTCCCGTGCACTTAAGGTATTTGAGGTGAGTACCTGACCTGTTGTATGGGAGTCAAGGAACGCACTACAGCTTTTGTGGCTGTTCTGTGAGAAATATCTCTTGAGACTACTAAAGAAGACTCAGATTAAGGCTGCCTACTGCAAGTGATCAGTTAATTGTCTGATGTCCTCACAGTCAGGCTTTGCTCATGCCCCAGCATGACCTCACTTTCCACTAAGAATGAGCCATACCTCTGTCAGGTAGTGCTATTAAGATCTGGGCTTAACTTTGCTTAGTTACTGAGGCCAGCCACACAGTTTCACACCCACACTCCAGACCCTTGTGACTTGTAGTGTACTCTGACAGCCCCCTCCACTGCTCAGCACTTCAACCTCGTGCGCGGGGCTCTGATCCCACACTCAAAGCAAGCCGTGTGCCCTGCATGACTACGGACCCAGCCTGCCTTACTTGTGGGTCAAGGCCCTGGCAGTCTCTGAATGGCACTGCCACACTGGTCCTTGGTTAAAGTGTTACAAGAACAACTTCACCCTGGGTGTAAAACTGGTATATTGGTTTCAAAATTACTTCTCTACTTAAGGGGTGAGTTTGATTCACATGTTAAAGGTTCTGTTGGTTCCCCTCAGAGATGCTCCCTGTATATGGCTTTAATATCAAGGAAAACTAGCAACTAATTAAGCTTTTTGCCCTTAGCCAGCAAAATAATGTTGCGTTATCTAAGATCTCAGTACCATGAATGGAAAGACTGACATAAGTGCTGCCTATTTATACAGCAATCAAAACACAACAACTTGCATTTATGTAGTATATTTTCATCCAGAAGGATTCAAAAGAGTTTTGCAAACTGAGGTTCTGAGACATATTTTATCTACAGTAGTTTAATTTAATTGACTTCAGCAGTGAGAGAAGAGGACAATCTGTTCCTATTAATCAATCACGTGGGTTGTAAGAGGCCTCTGCAGGTTTCTAGTCCAACCTCCTGCTCAGAGCAGGTCCAGTCATAGGTTGCTTGAAGCTGTTTGTTGCATTTTGAATATCACCAAGGTAGAGATCCCACAGATCCCTCCTTGGACCCCTTGGGCAGTGTTTGACTGCCTTCATGGTAAAAAGCTTTTTTTCTTTTCTTCTTCTTTCTAATGTCCTTGCTTCCAGCTTGTGCTCATTGCCTTTTGTCCTCCCACTGTGTACTTTTCAGACAAGTCTGGCTCTGTCTTCTTTATACCCTCCCACCAGGTACTAGTAGAGAGTGAACCGATCTCCCCTACCCCTTCACTTCTTAAGGCTGAACAAATCAAATGCCCTCAGTTCTTCTTCATATAACATTATGCTCCAGCTCCCTGAACATCTTGGCAGCCCTCCACTATACCTGCTACGGCACATCAATGTCTTTCTTCTACAGCACGTGGTACTCCAGCTGTGGTCTCCCTCATCCCTGACAGAGAGGAGGAATCTTCTTTTGAACTTCCTTTGACCTGTTGTCTACAGTCTTGCTACTATCGTTCAGTACGTGGTTGACCTTTTTTGTCACATGGTCATGCTGCTAGATCATATATCAATACACATTATAATTATAGAACTCCTTCTTCCCAGTTAAATGCAACCACTTCTGGGGTAAAACCAGATCACCAGCAACACTATACAGCAAACCCACTACCTAACAGCTGTAAACATACAAAAAGTGTGTTTGGGGGATAAGTATTTCCCTGAAATTGTAGAGCATTCCAGCTATTCATTGCCCACGTAATATTATCTCTCATAATCTTATGAAAAGTGTTTAAGATATTCAGCAATTACAAAGCATCTTGCATCTCCTCTAAGAGGACTGTTGCAAGAAAAGCTATTTTCTGGGCAACATTCGGTTCTTGTCTTGAGACTGAAAGAATCTCTAAGATGAACTTGTCAGACAAAATCCTTGGTGATGCCATAGTTGGGGTCTCCTTCCTAGAAGTGCACAGCTGACAGATAAGACATGAAAAATCCATCAGTGTAACAAACATTTCAAATGCAACAGACTGCTCATCGGGTATGAAACATAGAGGTATAGGCTCTTGTACTTGGTAGATTTTATGTTGCGCTGCATTTAAAGTCTATAATTTAAACAATTTTTAAAACATCATGCAAGAATCAAGGGCAGCTTATGTTCAAATATTATTTGTTTCTTCCTGGAGCAATTTACTTGCTGCATCAAGAGGTTTTCTAGTGAAAAAGCTCTTTGAGCTTGTCGCAGAGAGAGCTTTAAATATAATAAAAAGACAAGCATGTCAAGCCACAACAGAAGAAGATTCATTTCCCAGATCCCTCTGGCAATGCAGGTACAAGATATGAAAGCAGACGGGCATAATGACATTTGCCTCATCATGAACCATGCTGCAGGGAAGCTGGTTTCACTCTTCTGTATGTGTTACATGCAGCCAAAGCATAGGTAATGCAATCACGGCTGTCAGATTAATGCAAAGGTATTGATTGTTGAGGGGACAATGTAATAGTGAAGTTGGTAGGTACATTAAAAAACACGGTCCTTAATTTAATTTACCTATGGCAACGCGTCTGTTCCTTCTCATCTTTCTGCCTCTGATTAACAAAAGAAACCATGTCCCTTTCTCTCCCCAAGATCTTGCAGAGGCTTTGGAAGGGTTGGGTCATTGCCCAGGGACTCGGGCTTGTACTGCCAGTTTTCACCCAGCTAACGAAAATATCCACAAATCTACCAGGGCCCTTTGGAAGAAGACTACAGGCTCTATACTGTATTCTTCTTATTCCTCGGGGGAGGTCAATTTTGATAACGAGCCCAAATGATGCCAGTTCTGACAGCGAGCCCCAAACCACCGCGGGGGTGGCCGAGCGGCGCCGCTTCAGCACCGCGGCCAGCGCCACCTGCCCACGCGTGGCCACTGCCCGCCCCTCCACGTCATCGCCAGCCCCGCCCCGCCCCCCAACCAAAACGGCCTTCAGTGGGAGATTAAAGCAGAGGGGGTCGTGGGAAGTGACGTTTTGCCACACCGATTTCCCCCTCTTGGGACGATCTTCTTTGCTGCCCTGTTGGCTGTTATTGGCCAGCCCCACTGGTCCTCTGTCCAGAAGGAACAACTGTGGAATCAGTGGGTAAGTGCATTTATCCCAGTGGGGAGAAAAAAAGAGAAGAAAAAGACAAGTAATTCCTCCCAGATATATCCATATGGGCATCTTTGGGAATTAGCAGCAGGTGTTTCTAGTGTTGTTTAATGATTTTGTTCTCCTTTTCCATCTCCCGAAAGACATTTGAAGCTAAAATTCACCACCTGGAGACCAGACTGAGCCGAAAGCCTCGTGAAGGGACTGCTGAACTGGAATACTTTGTGCGCTGTGAAGTCCACAGCTCTGACCTCAATACTTTCATGAGCTCCATCAAGAGGGTGGCAGAAGACGTGAGGACCACTAAGGAAGACAAATGTAAGGAACTTACAAACTGCTTCACTCTTGTGGAGAGACTGAGCGGTAGAAACAGGGTAGAGGCTTTGTTATTCCCAGAAAAGGGGAAGGGCTGCTGTATACTGAATCTGAGAAAAACAGAAAAGGCTGCCCCTGGGACACCTGAATGCTCTTCCCTCCTTGTCCATTTTTCAACAGACTCCAGAGTCCATCGCCTATTCTTCTGGTGCCAGATTTGAAAAAGTAGAGATAGGAGATGAAATTTTATGCTTTGTTCACACCTATTCTACAGAGTTCCCCATTCCTACTCCAGTGTTTTATATTATAAAAGTAAAGTAGTTTCCTACCTTTGTGTCAGGAACTCTGTACAGATCCAGCATTAAACTACAAGACATTGCCCATGCCATCCTGTTCTGAAGACAGGATGATTCTCATTGTAAAATATCCCTAGAGATCTGCAGCGGTCACCCTACAACCGGTTGGATCTCTGGATTTGTTTTTAATGTGAAGTCTAGAATCTTTAAGTGAAGTCAAATTTTCATCTTCTTGTTTACTTTTGTCGCAAAATACTCTGCTGAGGCATGGGCAGGGAAGTTACGAGATGCAGATCATGGCATTAGACCTGACTTTAGGACAAGAGCACTGAGAGTGTGGGACTACTGCTCGGAAGGCACAGCTGTGTCATGTGCGGTTTGTTGTGTGTGCGTGCATCTGGTACACCAGGTCAGATGTGCTTTATTCAACCGCAGAACCCTTTCCCAGCAGGGGATGCTCCATCTTCGCTTCCGCAGCCAGTTTTTCTCTTTCGCTCTCCCCACAGTTCACTGGTTTCCCAGGAAAATCTGTGAGTTGGACAAGTGCCATCATTTGGTCACCAAGTTTGACCCTGACTTGGACCTGGATCACCCGGTGAGTGAATTTGTGTGGGCACATCCTCACGTTGGAGTCCTGAGCCTTCCCTCGGAAGGCGGGAGCTGGAGAGCACCTTTCAGGGAACTGTAGTGCAGTCACCACCATGAGAGAAGTTTCTCCAGCCAGTGATGAACTTTGTTGGGTGAGAAATTTTAGTAACTGATTAAAAATCCTGTCTCTGTTCCTGTTTGTCATCCCAGGGCTACTCTGACCCAGTATATCGCCAGAGAAGGAAATCGATAGCAGAAATTGCTTTTCACTATAAGCAGTAAGTCTCTTTCCTAACATCCATGCAGGGATAATGTCATGCCAATGCAACCTGTTGGGAAGTAATTGTACTAACTGCATGAGACTTGTCTTCTTTTATGTTTTGTCTCCCCATTCAGCCTTGCCAACTCTTTTTGTGTCTCTCTTCTCTCTATGTATTCCAGTCTCTTTTTAATTAAAAAATGTCTGTGGTCATTAATTCATACATTGATAAAGCCAGAATAAACCTCCTGCATATCAAAAGCCACATATAATTCCATCAGACCTCAAGCTTGATTTCAAAATGTAGCATCTCTTTTTGAATTACATCTATTTTTGACTTCAGTGTTGCAAGTACTGAAAAGGCTACCACGTGCCCATAAAACTTGTTCCAATGGTTCATTATCCTGGCTGTGAAATAATGTGGGTTTTATTTCTAAACTGAACTTCAGTAGCTTTAGCTTTCACCCAGTGGATCATACATGCTTTTCATCTGCTATATTGAATTCTGCTATCAGATTTTTTTTTTTTTTTTTTTGCTGTGAGGGTATTTATAGGCTGAATGGTTCACCTCCTAACTCTCTTTGATAAATTAAATAGATTCCAGTAGTGGTCTCATCATTGTCTTTAAATAGATTTAAGACTATCTCTTGCACTCCTATTTAATACTTCTGTTCTGATATATGCAATGATAGCACTCAGCCTCTTCACTACAACATCAAACAGAGCTCTAATATTCAGTCGGGTTTGTAAAATATCCCCTAGATCCTATTCAGTAACACTGCCTTCCACCATCGCATCTTCCTCTCCGAGCAGGACTTTAAATGTAGATTTCTGTAGCGAGCTGCTGGAAGCAGGCTATGGAAATTATATGGGTCACTTCCTTGAGCTACCCCTGCAACCGGTGTGATCCCAGCGTGGCTTTCTGCTCTGCTAGGTTTCATGTTCTTCGCAGATTTGAAGCCCAGAAAATAGCCACCAATGTTTTTATCCTGTACTAATACTAAATGCACAGAAAGCCACTGTGCCAGCAGGGGAGTCCTGATGGCCACAGGAACAAATACAGTCCCAAGGTGATGCACCCATCTGAGATGTCTTCTCTCACATCTCATCTGCAGGTTAGCATTTATGAGCCACTGTGTAGCATCCCTTCAGGCTGTTAATGGAAAAGGAACTATGCTTTATTGCTGTAATATGTGAATAGTTCATTTGTTCAGATACAGAACAGAGGGATTTAGGAAATACAGTTGTCAATTATGATGCAGAAAAGGCAAGAGTGTCAATCTTTTTTAGTTCCTACTTACATTAATGTTAAGATTTTATTTTCCGGCCATCCTTTATCTTACTAACAATATGTTTTTCTGCAGTTCACATGCATTCAGTTTTCCTTATTAGCTGCTTTTATTTCCCAGCCACTGATTCATTCTTGGAGCAATCAGCCCCCTGAAGTTCAGGCACATGAATTTAATTTATTTTCACACAAAGTTTCAATTTTTTCCAGCGAATACCATTTTTTTTTTTTTCCTGGAAAATATTATGCCAGCTAAGATTTCACTCATCTCTTGTTCATTTACAACCTCTGGCTAGACTAATGTTTTTCCCTCTGTCTATGTATTGACTTCACCTGTGCACGGTCCTAAGGTTTTTTCTTTCCTGTCTCACCCCCTTGTTTGGTTTAAAGAAGATTGATCAACATCATGCAGAGCTTCTCCAAAGTGCTTCCTTCTCAAAGGGAAGAGGAGCCTGGCCTGTGCTCTGCTGCTGTCAGTAACGGTGCCTTTGCCTTGCAGCGGGGACCCGATCCCTTGTGTGGAGTACACGGCGGAGGAGATTGCTACCTGGTGAGCGCTGATTTCATCTGTGACCTTTACCACTAGAAGTTAGGAATCAAAACCTAAACGGTTAGGGCGTGACCCCTTGAAAAATGTACCAGGAGTGCAAGCATCCTACTTAATGGCTTGTTATAAAACCCACTAACTCATTGCATGGAGTCTTACTGAAAGGGCTGCATTCGGGAGAGCAAGCTACCTCCAAAACAGTGATGCTCTGTCTTCTCCTCTCTCGGGGCTGCACTGAGAGCACTTCCATGCTGCAGCCCCCAGGAGTTTCCTCCTAAGGAGCATCCCCAGAGAGTGAGGTAGATAATTTGGAGTCCCACTTCTCTAAGTGGACCTGGCTTAGTAGCAGCCTCCAAACAAAGGGTAGTTATTGTAGCTGCAGAAAGAAGCGTGGGGTCTGTGGTGGATATCTGCATGGCACCTCGCTGGTCTCACTTAGGAAAACGCTTCCTTTGAACGTGATTATTTCCAGGGGTGTCGCTGCAGGATTGTCTCTGAAAGCGAGACCAGCTCATACGAGCCAAGTGCACAGGCTCCTAAACAAGGTCATCTCCTGGTTATATTGACTGTCTTCATTGTGCAACTTCAGGAGCTAACCTGCAGGGAATATTTTAATTCCAGTTAATACCTTTTATACAGTCTTCTGACCTTCAAGGTCAGAAATAGTTCTGCGCAGATACAACTGCTGACTTTGCAGGCTCATTTGAGTGTGTGTCTGTAAGTTTACACACTCCTATCAGTGTGCACAGACACAGACCTAGTGGTGGAGAAAAGCAAAAGAACAAGAAACATAGAGGTATGAGTACTTTATAGCCAGAGGACAGGAGAGGACTAGACACATTAGGCCACTGAACACCTTCCACCTCTCATCCTGAAGGAAGGAGGTGTACAGCACCCTGAAGAGCCTGTACCCCACCCACGCCTGCAAGGAGTATCTTGAAGCTTTCAATCTACTGGAGAAATTCTGTGGCTACAATGAGAACAACATCCCTCAGCTGGAGGAGGTCTCCCGCTTCTTGAAAGGTGGGTGCGAGCCTGGGGGGACCCAGGTCCAGGGTCTGCCAGGGCTCCAGCACAGTGGTGGCAGTTACTGCTGGGAAACCTGAGCCTGAAGGATGAGCATCTGAGCTGAGATGTGGGAGGAGAGCTGATGGAGTCTTGTGCGTTGCCCATGGAGGACAGGGGTAGAGCCCGGGCGGTGGGGACTGCAGCTGAACACGATGGGCTGCAGCTGAAAATCGAGCCCGTAGTCAGACGATCCCACGGAGCATCTAATGAGCAGCTGTTGCTCCCTAGGAGGAGCAAAAAGATTAGGCTTGGCACAGCAGAAGCCCTTTAGTTTCCAGCGCTGATGCTTTTGCTGTCCGTGCTGGGAACACGGGGCGCAGCGCAGCCCGTGGGCCCCGCACCCCCGCAGAGACGGTATGCGCTGTTTCAGAGAGGACCGGCTTCCAGCTCCGGCCGGTGGCTGGCTTGCTGTCGGCGCGGGACTTCCTCGCCAGCCTGGCCTTCCGCGTCTTCCAGTGCACGCAGTACATCCGCCACGCGTCCTCGCCCATGCACTCCCCCGAGCCGTGAGTATCGCCCGGCCCCGACGGCCACCTCTGCCCGGGCATCCCACCTGGCCAGCAATTAGCCTTTCTCCTGAACGGACGAACTCTGTCCACTGCTGACTGTGTTTTCCTCCTTTCCCCCTGGGCATCGGCAGGGATTGCTGTCACGAGCTGCTGGGGCATGTCCCGATGCTGGCCGATAAGACCTTTGCCCAGTTCTCCCAGGTAAGGTGATTGTCTGCCTCTTCATCCCTGAGAGGGTAAGGCACAAGGTGGGAACCCAAAACAACTCCAGTCTGGTCACCTAAACCTTTCTTGTTCTGGGATTTGTTTCTATTAATCACGATGTTCAGGAGCCCTAGTGATGGACTGAGAATCCTAATACAGAGTAAAAAAATCAGACTCTGCAGCAAAGCATTTTTGGTCTGAGCACAATGAAGCCCCAGTAGATGCATGGCAGCGCAGGACAATACCTGTTGTCTCGGGGCAATAAAACAGAGGAATTCACATGTAAGTCCCTCAGACCGAATCTGTCCTGGTGTTCACCCCTTCCCTTCTCTTCCCAGGATATCGGGCTGGCGTCTCTGGGAGCAACTGATGAAGAAATTGAGAAACTCGCAACGGTAAGTGTTCCTCTTTGCTGGGTGGGGGCCCCGACCCCTCCAGCGGCACTTCTGCAGTGTCAAGGGGACTGGTCCAACCTGGTCTCCCCAGATTTGCAGGCTCAGAGCCTCCACCTGAGCTGCCCCAGCCCTGCTCGTTCATGATGACTGTGCAGAGCGGAGATCAGTTAAACAGCAGGGCTCGCTTGCACATTAACCCAATTTTCTCGGGCACCAAGGTATCATCAAGCATCGTATTTCTAATGACAGTACTGCTGGGACTCTTTGGGATGGGATTAAATGACATCCGCTTCCTTTGGCTCTCCCTCGGCAAGGTGACCCATCCTGCTCCAAGGGCACCAAATAGCAGCAGCCGGGCGTGCCGGGGACCCGGGAACACAGTTTCCACCTGTCCTGTCCTGGCAGCAACTTAGTTTAGCACTTTGCTCTGGCAGCGACGGATGCAGGGTAAGGAGAGGGGACAAAGTGCCAGGTGCCTGTTCATTTAAACAACCTCAGGCTCCGGCCGTGATGCAAGGGCTCAGAAGTGACAGGGAGAGGAGGAGCTGTGTCCCCTATGCATTTTTCTTTCTCCTTTCACAGCTTTACTGGTTTACGGTGGAGTTTGGGCTCTGCAGACAGAATGGGATAGTCAAAGCCTATGGAGCTGGCCTCCTGTCTTCTTACGGGGAGCTTATAGTAAGTCCCAGCATAACTTGCCCCTCTGCTCTAGACCCTATACAGCAAAAAACTTCCTTCCTCTGCACAGCTACCCGATCTGTTCTCCACCTCTGCCTATCACTTATGTGGTCTTCAATGCCCTTAATTTCATGCTGGCATTTTTCTGCTGTGTCCATAGCACTCCTTGTCAGATGAACCAGAGGTGCGAGACTTTGACCCCGATGCTGCTGCTGTTCAGCCCTACCAGGACCAGAACTACCAGCCCGTATATTTTGTGTCTGAGAGCTTCAGCGATGCCAAAAGTAAACTGAGGTAGGACTGGGCAGTGAGAGAGACCCAAACCGAAGGAAATGAAGCTGTGATATATTGAAACAGGGCTTGACACCATGGCTGCTTTCAGTTCAAGGTCTCAGAAGTACTCTGGAAACTGTTGTCAGGTCTTTCAAAGTGACTCTCCATGTTCTACAGGGTCCAACTTCAGTCCCTTGGATTTGCCCAAGAGCACACCCCCCCACCCCCACCCCACCCCCCCAAGATATGCTGGACTCAAGGGCGTGGGTGTGGAGGAATGGAGACAAGACTAAGGGAGCAAGAGAAGGGACAAAACTAGCTCATCTGCCTAGTTCTCATAGGAAGGAGTTAGGAGACTGTCTCCAGTTCCCAGGAGAGCCCAAGCCACCTAACAGAGGGCTGGTGGTCCAGAAATGGGAGACCTAAACCGTGCACCAGGACCCTCTCTGCTTTCTTGCTGCAGTGGCCAAGGGATATACAGGTCAGGTACTGGCTGTCCTTCATGGGAGCATCTAGCCAGCGTGTGTCCTTCTCAAACACCGGCTGCTGCGTGTACATAAGTTTGCCCTGTGGGTGAAAGTTTTAGGAGAGGCATGAAGAGCTGCTCGAAACGGTGGCATTCTCTGAATTTAGGATGCAGAAAAATGTTTGTCTTTCTGAGCAGCTGCTGGGCGTTTATCATTCAAGCGGTAAAAAACCCCCCAGGCATAGTTAGTAGCTCATACAGAAATTAAAAAGATTTGCTTGATATGGATAGATTTATCCATGGAAAAAGAAGGAACTTTTGCCTCCTAGGCTGGTTAACATGGGTTAGCAGACCCCGAACAACATCCTACCAGTGTAATTTCGTTTTCTTATCCCATGGGACTGCAAACAGGATGCAGAGGGGCATCTCTACCCACAGACATCTGTTCAGAAGAGCACATTTTTGGGCATACTCAGAATTGCCTACAGTAGGAAAGCTCAGTCCTTTAACATTTGACTGGCAGAAGAAAACTTTAGCTATATGATTTTGTCTTAGTTTAAGAAAGGGATAGGATGAGATGAAGTATTACACACTGTACATGACTTTGCAGTTCCTGCAAGTGGGATATTTCATATAAACAATGAGGCGAGGACTGCTATATTTCAGCTTCTGCTTTTATTACCCTCACTTGCACTGTTCGTGCAACCCGGAGTCCAGCTGCTCAAAAGCAAGCACCTGGGGAGCCCGACCTCTCACACGCACTAGGCTGCTTTGAAAAAAAACCCAACTGTTGTCTAATGAGTCATTTCCTTGCATTTAAAAAGGAAAACTACACAGCCAAGATTAGGCTAGAGGGTTTTGACAGTGACAAGCACTGTAAATGATCCTCTGTAGAGAGTTCAGAGACCACACAGATGTTACTCTATGAAGTGAAAGCATTTACACGTTTTTTGCATTACTGGCAGCTGCCACCATGGACCTGATTATCAGTGTTATCCCTCCGGAAAAGCCTCTTTTCCCAGAAAGAAAACTTCCCACCGGTTTTCTAGGGTGGCCGCATACCCTCAGTGCCCTTCCAGGCACCCATGCCGTACTTGCATGCTTCAAAAAGGCAGCAAGGGAGCACATCCTTGAGGGAGGGCAGCTTCCCAGCCATTAGCAGCTGCGGTGCGAACCGTCACTGTGGCTGATGGCATGAATAAGCGAGGTGAGCCGGACCCTCCCTGGCAGAACTGAGATGAGCCACGGATTTTAGGAGCTGGACAACTGAGCGTGCAGAAAACCCCGCCGCTTGCACTCGGTTTTTGTTTCCCCAAGCAAGCAAGGCAGCTCCCTGCAAGCTCCAAGCCTGCGGTTTTGACCGCGTAGCCCCATGGCCCTGGCAGGTGTTTCCCCCCCCCCCCCCCAGCCCCGGCAATTCAGGACGGGGCTTCCCCGCCGCTCGCAGCACCGGCCGGAGGGGCGTCTCAGCCGGGCGGGGGACGCGCCTCCGCGCCCGCGCAGACCCGCGGTAGCCACAAGAGGGTACCCTAAGCCAAGCAATTCAGGAGCGAAAGGGTGAAGCCTCAGCAGAGGCCAGGAGCGTGCCTGTTGCTGGTGCTGTTTGTCCCCCCGTCTTCCCAGGCCTTTCCAGGATGCGGCTGTAGCCGTGGTACCTAAATATCGATTCCCGGCTCCATATTTACACAGCCGCCAAAAAAAAAAAAAAAAAAAAAAAACAAACCAAAACCAAACCACCCTACCTTGTCAAGTGTACAAATCTTACCGTTGGAGGTGAGCACAATCAACCTTGGGGAAACCTTACCCTTGATTTGTTCTCACCTGACCATGCACTTCTCTGTTAGAAAGGGAGCAACAAGGTCTTCGCTCTTGAGAGGTGTCAGGTGAAGTCAGGCTCATCACTGAGATCTAGACTCCCGTTGGCTCTGGGTACAGGAATACAGCTTTGCTCAAGCACACGGCTCCGAAGATGCTATTCCCATTCTCCTGCCCTGGTCTGAGCCATTTCCCATCAAATCTGTCCTTAATACGGCTTGCAGTTAGTTCCCCCTCCCCAAGCAGAGATTAGGCAATAGATGAATGTCAGAAAGGATCTAGGAATATAATACTGTAACACCATGGGCTTTCCCTGCAATTAGCTTCTAAGGCTCCTTGGCATTGTTGAAAAGGGAAAAAAGAAATTGAAGTAGAGGATTCCTGGTGATGGCCACAGAGGTGACCAGTTCAGCGTACCAGTGCACCCTCCAGTCTGATGCACGCCCATGCGTTCAGCCCACGGAAGCCCACAGTGAAATTCACGGTCTTTCCTTGCTGAACAGGACGGATCTCCACTCCCGCAGTGTGGATCTGGAAAGGTGGGAAACCAGGGCCTTTGTGCTAACCTAGCAGCTCTGCCTAAAGGAGGCGTTAACCTGTTGTGATCTGGGTGGGTGGTGATGGGTAGGAGGGAGGCTCGGGCCCCATCTCTTGTACCGAGCCCTCTGCACGCTTTCCTTGCAGGAGCTATGCGGCACACATCAAGCGGCCCTTCTCGGTGAAATACGAGCCCTACACCCACAGCATCGAGCTCCTGGACAGCCCTCAGACGATCTGTCACTCCCTGGAGAGCGTAAGGGATGAGCTTCACTCGCTGATTAACGCCCTCAATGTTATCAGTTAATACAAGAACTGGGCTCTTTCCTCCCCCTCTTCCCTCGCAGCCCCAAAACCGCCCGCTCTGCCCTCGCCTAGTTCCCAGCTGATAACTCCTACCTGTCTTCTCCAAACATTTGCACCGCTGCCTGTCACCACGCGACCCCAACAGCTTTCCACTTTTGTATGTAGGGCCAGCTCGGAGGAGGGCAGAGGGACGGACCCAAGGCCTCCTGGCTTTTCGGGTAGCTTTTCTAGTGACTGCTGGAAGAGGCTTAGCACAGACCAAAACCATGGCCAAGCTACAGAGTTGAAGTCAAGAGCTGTGTGCTAGGCTCCTGGGTGCAAGGAAGAGAAAAGCTTCTTTATTTAAAAAAAAAAAAAAAAAAAAAAAAAAAAAAAAAAAAAAAAGAGAGAGAGAGAAAATATCTATTTTTTTGCAGTTTGAGAGAATAAATTAATCTGCCTTTTTCGCCCCAGAGCAACTCCTGTAGCAACTTCATGAGGGACCCTCAGTCCCCACCATCTCCTGCCTCTTACAGCCTCATACATTTGGAAAATGCAGAGCTGCTTTCGAAGCTTTTCTGCCTGAACCAACCCCATGAGGTTTGAAATTTCAGCTCCCAGCCTCCCTCAGCTTCTCACCCAGGGGGATGCTTAGGCAGGAACCCCTGAGCTGCACCACCCCACCAGGCTGTAAGAGGCATCAAAGCTCTCCCCAACCTCTAAATGAACCCAAGCCAAGGAGTTGCCTGCCTGGCACAGAGGAGCCCTGATCTACCCGCATCCTCCCCGGCACAAACACCACAGAGCAAGCCCTGCCCACCCCAGACCAGAGCGTGGGCACCCCCTTCGAGCCCTCTTTTCACAGCTCCCACAGCAGGGTGTGCTCAAGAGCCCAGCTGCCATCCTTCACAGCAGATAGCAGTCACAGCTACCCATGTCCCTGCGTGCTGGTGGCTCTGGGCAGCCTCAGCAGCCTCTTGGTGCCCTGAGTTTACTGGTTATTGCAGACTGAGTGGGGCCACTGGTGTCCTGAGTTTGCCAGTCCTTGGGAGGATTTCAAATGCTTTCACTTTTCCAGTCTATTACACAGGTACAGCATCATCTTGTTCTTAGACAGCCCGATATCACTGTCACCTGATGTAGCTCAGGTGTGCGACTAATGCTATTGCTGGCCATTTCTGAGGAAAGTAACATATGGGTAGGATGCTCAAACCCAGTTTCATCCAGCTTTCGCTGTAGATATTAATGGCTTGATCTAACCCAAAGCTCTCAGTTGTCCTCCCCCTGCTTTTGCCCTTCTTATCTTCTTGCATGCTGTCTCATAGCTTAGCGGTTTCCTCAGAAGTTTGGCCCAAGGTTATGCAGCTGTGCAGTATCAGAGCTGGGCTTGCGATGCGTGGAGGCAGCTAAACAGCTGTGGGGGACTGCAAAGGGGAGAATTACACACAGTTGTTTGCATGACCAGTTGTAACATTTATGCATAGGCTTTTACCAGCCTTATCCACTACATATGATTTTTACAGTTTCCTCTTTAAAGAAATGCGAGGCTTAGCAGTTAAGTTTTTCCTATTAAGTGTAAGTATCCTCTGATACTTATATACCATCCCTCTCCAGTCTTACTTCTACTGTGTCTCAGTCATAATAGTTTACAATACGTTATACTTTAGCCCATTTTAAACCTTCACATACATATGCTTAACCCCCAGTCCTCTCAATTTTTAACTACTTAGCTACTGACGGCACTTAGTCTCCCACCTGCTTCAATCCCTTCTTTCGGTTTCCTTTCTTATTTGACCCCTCCCTCCTAAATTCCTCCTAAATTGCTTAAAAATGCCATTAGTGAAATCAGCAGTTCAACACTAGGGCTAGCTGCTTCTCCTCAAGTTGTTCCTCCTCAGAGGATTGTCCCGTAAATGAATAAAAACTACTGAGTTCATTCAGTTATTGTAACTCTAGTGCTCTTTTTCCAAAGCTTCAGCTATGATTTCCCAATCTGGGTGGATCCAGATCCTGAGCTGGAACTCTCAAGGCTCCCTTAAGAGCTGTAACAGTTTTTAATTTGGGGTCTTAAATTATTACTATTAGATTAAGTAGTTGGAGCAAGCTATGCAAGACCGAGGCAGGTTAGGTAATAGGCTAGCTATCTAGCCATGAAAATTGTATTGGTGACTCCAGTAAAACAGACTAAAAGAATGAAAATAAGGTTCCAAACAGGCAAGATGTTACAATGAAGCCTGTACAGTTAGTACTAACAAGCTTATGGCCTTGTTAGCAATAGCAATGCCATGTTGCTGGCCTGCAGGTTGCTGTTCCTCCTCTCCTTTGGTAGTCTGCAGCTCCTGGGTTACTGCCCGGGAGTGCGGCAAGGATACTGCAAACCCTGCAGCGACGCCAGGCTCTTGATCAGGACTGAGCAGGGAGTCTCTATGGAGGCGTTCGCTTTCTGATCTGGCCTCAAAACCCATAAAGGTCTGAAGGTGGTTGCCTCTAGTTCTCCAAAGCACTCCACAGTCATTATCTGCCTTGTTAAATGTCTAAAATTAATGCAATTTATAAAAAGACCAAAGCTATCAATATGGAGCGAAAAGCCAAGTTAAAAATCCTTGCAACTGCAGGGGCCCTCAACTCCTCCGCCTTGCCTCGGAGTTTGCATTGCTGCTCAGTGACTCTGTCAGCTGTTGCTTGTTCGAGGAGCTGTAGTAAAATCTGTTGCCCTACGAAAATAGAAAATAAGCAAGACTTGAAGCATAAACCAGCCCCGTTAGTATGCAAGCATATAAACAGAGCTACTGGAGCCCCGCGGGAGGTAAACACCCCGCGGGCTGCACCCCCTTGCTTCCGAGAGCTGAGGCTGCGCTGGGGCGGGCTGTGAGTGCGGGGGCTCAGGCGGAGCAGGCGCCGGAGGGTCTTCTTTGGGGCGTTTTCTGTGTCTGTGTTCTTGACAAATTCATGACACATTCCAGAATTTTTTGGCCCCTTAGGGGGACATCTGAGAAACATGAACCCGTTTGTATTTACCACTGCCCTCATCTATTTAATATTTTAGAGAACTTATTAGTAACATAATAGGTCCCCTTCCATTAGGTCTTTAAGGCTTGTTCCTTTTTATCTGATTTCAAATATATTACTTGGCCCCTTATTTCATAAGGCAGATATGAATTAGATTCTTCCTTTCTCATTTTACCTATTTTTCTCATGTTGCTTCTTCTACCCGAGCCTTGTTTTCTTCTTTATCCTGCCATAATATTTTAGGGTCTTGGACAAAGGGCCACTAAGGAATGGGCTATACAAGCAAAATACAGTCGGTTTGTAAACCAGTCCCTACTCTGTCACTGCTTTTTAAAGCTACTAATATTGAGGTTAACTTTTCAGCCCATCGTTTTGGATATTGTCCTACAATTTTCTTTAGTCTATTTTTAATAGTCTGACTCATTTCTTTCTACCAGTCTGGAGGATTGCAGGTGGTAGGGTATATGCAGTCCTTGCTTAATCCCCAGGTTACTCATTAAGGCTCGAGTTACTTCACTTACAACCCCCTCCGCTCTTCATCTCATCCTTTCTCAGCTGCTGTTCCATACCGATGGACAATTTTCTTTAACAGCCTTTTTGCAGTTCCAGCGGCTATATTTCTTTTAGGTGGAAGAGCCTCAGCCCATCCTGGAAAGATATTCACGGTGACAAAGATATCCCGGTACCCTTTCTTTAATTTGTGACAGTTTATCTGGATGATCCCTTTGCAGTATTTGTCAAGGTCCATGGCTTAGCCAGTGCAGTCGAGTTGGCAGCTTTCTTTTGCTAGTCCACTTTTGCATCATTGCACACTCTATGCAGTTTTTATTTATGTCCTCTATTTCCTGCTTCATTTGGGGCCAAATATAAATTCTTTGCACTCTTTTCAGAGTACCTTGTACTCCTTTATGTAACTTACTACGACAGTGTAAGATAACTTGCTCTCATTCAGCTGGCCACAGTATCCATCCCTTCTTTAGCTGATTCCTGCTTGAGGCTGCAGTAAACAAACTCTGAGTCTATTTATCTACTTGCTCACTAAATTGTTTCTCAGTATTGCTTTCAGTCTTCCCATGTGTTTTAACATCCTTTACATATATTTCATTCCCACTCTCCCTCTAAGCATATAAAATAAACCTGTTTTCTTCATGGGTGTCCCATTATGTGCTCGCCATCACCATTCTCCCTATCATGCATCCAGTATTTTATTATCAGCATAGTAGCTATCTGTAGAGAGACATTGTGTAGAGGGGTTTGTCTTTTACTGACAGTCTGTAAGCTCCTTGGCATGATCCTTTCTCTAGTTTCCCCACTACTTGTTCCCTCATTCCACTAATAGCAGTATCTTGGATTATTTTTCCTCCTTGTTCAAATTTAGCACTCCCATGAGTACACAATACCTTGGGTTTATTACTGGTTTCCTTTAATGGGATATCCACCTTAATATCCATTCCTTCTCTTTGTGCTTATGAGCAGAGTATGAGTAGACTGAGATACAGCTGGGCTATAGAGGGGGAAAGCATCAGAGACCATCAGAGCCCAGACTGACTCTAACCAGGCTTTCTCATGGTCATGGAAATTTTGGTCCAGCCCCTGTAGAGGGGAGGACCCATATGCTACTGATATCCATTTTCTTTTACTAATTTTCTGTAACAGTACTGCTTCCACAGAATCAGCTTGTGTTGAAATTCTTATAACAAATAATTTTCCTTTGACGGTGAATCTTAGTGCAGGAGCTTTCCAAGCAGCTTCTTTCACATTAGATAAAGCATTGTCTTGCTCTTTGCTCCAGCTCCCTTACTGATTCTTTCTCTGTCATTTCCATAATGCTCTGCTGGTACTAGCAAAGATGGATACGCTGCCATAAGATACCAGCACAGTTATAGATATGCTGCCATAAGAAATTAAATCCTCCCAGCACTCTTCAGAGTTGGGACTGATCAGTGGGAGTCTTTATTTCACAGAAAGCTTAACCTTTCTAGCATCTATCCATCTTCTTGTTTCACCAGTTCCAATTCCCAAGCAGTTAACCTGGGGTTGTGTTAATTGTGCCATGTTCAAATTGACTTTAAATCCCATTTGGTCTATTAATTTTAAAATTCAGCCACTTCTCTCTTGTACCTCTTCTTCTGTAGCTGCGGTCCCCCGAATATCATCCAGATAAGACAATTCCTTTTCTTTTTCCCCCAGATATCATCATTCAAACGCTTTCCTAATGCAAGCATGTGCAGCGGTGCAGGTGCTCAGCCCTGTGGGATGCAAGTAAAAGTATATTGTTTGTCTCTTAATGTGAAAGCAACTCTGTAGATCGCTTCTTCCCCTGCATTCTGCCATATGGGAGTTTGCTGTGAATCGTGGGGGTGCATTTGTGCCGCTAGCTCTCCTAATTCATCTGCTGTCCAAGGAGCCTGACTCAGCCTCGGGGCTGCCAGGGGCAATGGAAATACCTGTGCTCCGTTGGGAGTGGGTGGTTGGTACGTGATATCATGTCCTGTTGACATTCGAGCAGCTCCCCACCAGTTCTTTGAAGACTCCCCATCTCCTTCAGGCTTATGGACTGATGGTGCTGCCATTTGCATCCTTGTCTTGCCATTCTGCTGGGCAGCTTGATTAAATGCCCATGATGGCATCGTTAAATGTTCATTAAGGAGATGCCCAATGTGCAATGAATAGGAGCTGGTGGAGCACACGCTCTATTCAACTTACTGCTTAATCTCCATTTAATTCAAAATTTGAAGCCGTTTCTCTAAGTCCTACAGTCCACTCTACTGTTGTGCTTGCTTTCAGTGGCTTCATATCTGCATCTACCTGCCCCGGCGTCACTTTTTTCATTTTAACCACTACAGCAGTTTGATCTGCTGTACCTGTCTGCCCTGGGATGGCACTTGTAATCTTTGTGGGATATGCTGCTATTCTCAACTTCTCTTTATTTTCCCATTTGCCCATATCATCCTTGAAATCATTTTCCTCTGATGACTCCTGATCCAGCTCTCTCCACCACTTCCTGCAGCTACAGCAGTTATTTTTAATTTTTGCATCCCAATCTGCTTTTGCAAGTGTCTAATTTTAGCTTCGCATTTACTATGATCAGGTCCCTTTTGAGCTCTCCCTTGCTCCAGGGTGAATCACTGCACTACATATGTTAATCCCCCTCCTTACTTTTGCAGTTTTTCGTTCTCTTTTTCTAAATTCATCTGATTCTCTAATTGCCATTGCACCTCTTTATTGCCTTTTTGGGCCACTAGATGGTATTCCTTTTCTAAAGACAAATTTATTTCAAGTCACTTGACAGACTCCTTCAAAACACAATTTTCCTGTTGAAGCAGCTGATGTTCTGATGTTGCCTTGTCTCGGTCGGCAGGGATTATTGCCGCCTCCCATACCGGTCCCACTAATAGAGCCGGCGTGTCCTCGAGTCTCCCTTCATCCGCTCTCCCGTATCGGGGAACATTTGGTCTCTATCACCCATCGGCTTCCTGTGGGCTGGAGAGGCGCCCACAGCCCCTGCTGTAATCTCTGATATTGTTGGGATTTCCTGTAGCCCTCCAGTATTCCTGTTTTTAGGCTTTTTCCCGAGTCTTTTTAGATTTTTCCCATGCTTTCAATTTTGTCTTGAGGTATCCCTTCAGTATTGTGCACAAGGCTGGTCAGATCTGTAGAGTTGCCTTGAACGAGATCGCTCAGAGGAAAAGACTTTGAGGATCTACCCAGTCACTCCCTTCACCAAAAGATGTGATAAATGCCCTTTTCCTGACAGCGGAGCAGATTTGTAGGATTATGTGGCTGCTTAGAGCTAAGCGCGAGCTCATGTCCTTTGGGTGGGTCGTGGGAGCCTTCATGCCGTTTCCCCAGACCTCACCGAAGGTGGCTGCAAGTTCTATAAAAAGCGACCTGGAGAAAGCCAAGGTGATGGGTCCGCCCAGGTTAAACCCTCCCGTAGATGGAGCATGGGCTGGCGAGGGCAGAAGAAAGGAGAAAAGCCTTCCTCGGAGCCAGGCCCCATCACACCCCCTGGTATCCGCCTGTCCCAGTGCCTCGCTGAGCGGTCTCTCGCTGTTGTCGCTGCTGCTGCTGTGGGTGGATCTCTCTGTCTGTCTCTCTGTGTAAAGAAATACGAAACAGAATTATTTTTCATTTTGGAATCGTGCTGCTGCTGACATGATATTAAGAATAATAATAAAAAAAAAAAATCTATTTCTGGTCTAGCATCCTGAGTTTGGCTCTTCTGCTGTCCGCAGTCAAGCGGGCCGCCTTGCCGGCAGGCAGTGCGCGAACTCCGACCCGCGGCCCGTTACGGCAGGAGATCTGCAACTTGTGCTCATGCAAAAAGTTAACTTGGGGGTAGAAAACGGTCCCTTGTTTGCAGACGAGCTGACCTAAGCCTTTCTTTGCCAGGATATTACCAATTGCACAATTATGCATGGAACAGTAGTTGGGAGGTCTCTTTTAAATAGTAACACACCAGGGGGCTCGCCTTCCCTACGTGCTTTCTCTCCCAGCACTTCTCACTATTTCTACTCAGTTCCAGTAACGCCGGTGTATGCACTGTGCCTGCTTGCATAGGCTGGTTTGCATGTAACCAGGCTATGCTGCCCCAATCCTAAATGTGTTGAACGCCTTTCTAAGAGCTTTCTAAGAGTAATGAGGAGTGGATCCTCCTTGCTTAAGCACAGAAACTATTTTAGATGACCTAAGGAGTCTGCTGCCTCCATGTGGGAGTGGTGGATGGGATACAGGATGCCCAGGAGCTGGAATGCACCCCCGGAGACCAGAAGAGATGCCCAAGGCCACATGAGTGTTTCCTGTTCCAGAGTTATCCTTATGTTTAAGGAAACTAATTCCAGTCAGTGCTGCAAGCTTGGCCTTCCAGTGAAACCCAGACTCTTTCTCTGGTTAAATCCCTTCCAGAATCATGGGCAGAGGTTGGATTAATGTACTGCCGGCACAGGTCTGGACCACGCACCCAGGCACCCCAGCACTGTCTGAGAGGGAGTTTCCTAATTTAGGACTTGTAAGGATACCCTGTATCTTCGCAGTGCTCGTTAAAGTGTTACAGCTGTAATGAATTCATCTTCATTACACGCTTGGGAGGTAGAGGAGTACTCTTGTCCCTGTAAAAGGCTGACAGATAAAAGAAGGCAGAGAATCAGAGAGCCTCAGACCAGGCGCAGAGCCTGAAAAGTAATTACATGCCTAAACAGCTTTGGGAAGAAGCGTCTAAGTGGCAGATCTGGGGCTTGAACCTCTGTCAGCCCCCTCAGGACCAAATCTTTCTTCTTGTGCTGTGATGGTACGGATCAGAAGAACTCAATTATTTACAAATCCTATAGCCGCAGGTATGCGTGCACACACCCCCTGCCCCCCCGGAGACGGGAATTGATTCGGATAAGGCTGCATCTGACCTGAGCTGTCATTCATGCTGCTAATCCAGCTCAAATCAGACTTGTTTTTTTCCCCAGGGACCAGAAAAGGTACTGCACTTGCCACTGCAAAGAATTTGTTTTCGGTTTTCCTACTCTTGTTTGCTACAATGTCTGGGAAAATGCTAGGTTTTCTAGGGGAAAGATGATCTTTTGACATTTTTTCTGGCACAGCTGAAAGCAGAAGGTATCTGAAATGTCTTGAAAACTGATCAGGATTTTTTTTTTTTTTTTTTTTTTTACACTGAATAGAGAATTTTGCATAGATTATGTAAGGGATTTAAAACCCTATGTGACTGCACCCTAGATGTGCTACCACAGCCGCGCAGCACTCTCATTGTGCAGCTGGTAGGGTTGGCAGTGACAGGTCAATAAAATAAACTTTTGGAGATTAGATATTTTTTCAAACTTGCAAGTGCTCTGCTTCAAATGAACAAGGGTTTCCTCAAGTCTCTGTTAACGAATTCGCTTCAACCATCTTGTACATGTTTTCTATCACCCAGGAGCAGTGGGAGCATGTGCACGTGTTGACTTCTGTACTGCAAGACTCCCAAAACCATGTACATCCCAACAGGGACCCACCCAGACTCCTCACGCATCCGCTGGATCCTGTCCTCCAGAACTGTAGAGGGTTTGGGTCCTGATCTAAATTTCCCCAAATCCGAAATACTCCCTCCAGCTCCAATGAGGCACTATCATGTGTTTCTCTATGTGGTGTTCTGAGGTTTAGCTTGGGATGGAGCAACTGGTTTTGAAGCTCATGTGAAACACAGGTTTGAATTAGACCTGAACCAGAGCGATGCAAGACCAGACAGGGTCTTGCACCTGATGGGGTTAAGGCCCATTCTCTTTGATTTTCCTGGAGGGGTAAGGATGCAAAATCCATTTTTTTCACTTCTGACATTAGTTCTACTTGGTCTCTTTGTGATTATTTTCTCTGGGCACAGCAGGGTGAATTGATCTACAAAATATTGGCAGGGATGGTGGAGGATTAAGTATCTTGCACAGATAGTTCAGTGCAACAGTTGTTACCCAGGACGGTGGAGAGAAAAACAGGGTGGGGTAAGGGAGTTGTTCATTTTCCTTCCACTAAGGTCAGCCTTAAATAACTCTCCCACCTCCCTTGGAGGCTGAGACAAGATAATAAGGACAAAAATGTCAGAGCAAAGCACGGGGCCCCTCTATTTACAGCAAAGGCCAAATCGCTAACCAACAGATCGGAGCTTGCTTTCTAAACACCGATAAGCGGCAACTTTGAATTAACAGCCCCGGTTCCTCCGCTGCTGTAAATCAGCCTGACCCCGACTGCCCGCAGCACCCCAGTGCCTCCCCCCGGGCCAGGGGCTCCCTGGCTGGAGGAGGGGGGCTGCAGCAGCGAGCTCACCCCTCCCAGCCCCCGGAGAGCCCCGTGCCTGGCTCCAGACACCCCCCACCTCCCCCTCCCCAGCCCCCTAACACTAACAAGCCTTATCAGTAGGATTTACACCTCCTTGTCTAGGAACCCGTAGGCAAGCCTACGGACCGGTTACCGGTGTGTATCCAAATCCTTAAAGTAGCTTTAAGTGCTCAAAACAATCCACTTACCCAGCAATAATTAATGATACCGGACCTGGGAGTCCCCAGGCTCTGGGAGAGGAGATCAGAGCACTCTACAGTGGGGTCCGGCTGCCCGTGAGCAGGGAGGGGGTCAGCCCTTCTGCAAGCCCTCGGCACCTCCCGGCCCCTGCGGAGCATCCCGGGGGAGAGGAATAACCAGCGTAGCTGGCGGTAACGCCAGGGAGATGGATGCCTGGGAGCAGCCACCGCTCTCAAGAGCAACGGTGGGTTGGGTTTTATTTGCTGCCAGACGCCGCGTTAGGAAAGGTCCTTTGGCACAGAGCTGTGCCGGCTGGCGAAACACCAGCTGCCAGGCAGGTGACACCGTAGGAGTGAGGGGGAAGGAGGAATAAATCACAGCTCCTGTCTCGGGTCCCAACCCAGCTGGTGGCATCTGAAGTGCTACAGTTCAGAGCGCCCTGCGAAGGGCAAGGAGCGAGCGGCACCTCTGGATGGCAAGCCACATCTCCTGGAGGAAAGTGGGTCTTCAGGGCGGTGGCATCAGGGCAGCGTTAGCCAAAAATCTCAAAGAGCACCCTAGTAGCAAAACAGCGGCTTTAAAATTAAAGTTTATTCTAGAAAATGGGGTCTCAAAGATTCATATTTAAACTCAGCAGAAAGCGTGGTGAGAGAATGAGTACGCTGGTCCACAATATCCTTTTACAGTATAACTTGCAGCCCTCAATTTTGTCACTGGGGAAACTGTGGCGGATGTCCATGGTACACCCACAGCTGCAGAGATGAGCAGTGGCAGAAGACACAGATGTGACACGATCATTTATTTTCAATCCGTGAGACAACTTTACAGCAGGGGACAAATCCAGTCTGAGCCAGCAAGAACCATTCCGTCATTTTTTGGCATTTCTCTCTTTACTGCCTCGCTGCCTCGGCTGGTTATAGCACCCATCACTTTCTACTATGTCTGCAGCTCTGGTGGCCTGCCTATGCTTTCCCGCATCATAGCCAAGGACCAGGTCGTCTTCTTCTCTATTTTACCAAAGGCTGCTGCAGGTCATCCATGCCTTTGTGTTCCGAGTGATGCCTGTGATGCCACCTGCTGTGAAAGCCATGGTAGTGGCACCAGAAGACTTTAGTGCCTACAGTTGTGGACATTGGAGAAGAACCCCCTGATGGACTCGGTGGCCCCTCTCATGGTCTTTCCTAAAGACCAGGTCAAGATGCGATTTGGTTGTTCTCATGGACTTCCATGACATGAGGAAGGACAGATGTGGCATCAGTGCTGAAAACGTGTATTTTTGGATTGGTGCTGATCAGGCTACTTTTCCAGCACTTCTCCACTCTGTGGGTTATTTGTTACTTTAGTCGTTCATTACTTGTCCTCTAGCAGAGTGTCATCACTTCTTCTAATGTTTCTCTACCTATGCCAAGGATTACTCTTGGGCCATTAATAGCCACAGATTTCTTCTTCTCCTCATTGATAAACAAACTAATTTGTTCTGCTGCATCTGCTAATAGCTGTATCTAGGAACTATTAGAAGCTTTTAGGTGCTATTTTCTCTTCTACCTTCTCAAAAAAAACAAAAAAGTGGCCAGTAACATTGTGATGGGGTTAAAAGGACCATACCTGTTTTTTCCATCTATATTTATAATATTGTGTATGCTCTTCCCAAAGTGGATGGGAAAGATTTTGGGAGCTTTACTCTAGAGATGATTAAATTTGGTCTATTTTGCCTGGGCAGCTCTACTTATGTAAACGTTTGAGCCTGCAGAGGCCAGGGGAGCTTGAGCAGCATGCAGCCAAACCAATTTGCAGGTTCCCTGGTTCCCGGCGATCTGGGCTGGCCAAAGGTCAGTATTTCCCTGCTGAGAGGTACGATGCGCTCAGGAGGGGTGGCCAGAGGGCTTGGGTCACAGGAGGCCATTCTCAGAGCCACCGCACACCTGGGAAACTCCCTTGTCCTCTGATGTAAACTACGGGCTCTTCTCAGTTGCTCCCCGGAGCATCTTCTACCAGTGAGCTGCATCTCCAGAGGTGCAGATGTCCTCATGACCCTCTCCGCTGTTAGCAGCTAACCCGAAGGTGATGGAAACCGATGGGTCAGACCTGGTTGGTTACACTGGGCTTTGGGTTACACCCTCCGTCTTATGAATCAACCCTTTGTGCTCTAAGCAGCAAGATAATGTCCCCGGCCTGGAAGAGCTTGGAAAATTGTGAAATCCACGGTCTGGCAGGAGTGTCTCCCTTGGGCCTGGTGGCTGGCGGGGCGATGGGGTCTGCTCACATGCCCTGCGCCCAGGCGGCCGCCGGGATTAGTTTATAGAAGCAGCTGAGATTACTCGTATCCCAGCGAGCGGCCCCCTTCCCTGCTTGCACAATGCCCCTTTTGAAGCAAGGGCAGCTCTCATTGTGTGGCTCCAGATAAGGCGCAGAGCCTCACCCTTTGCGAGAGCAGCCCCCTCTCCCCCCCTGGGCCCACGGCAGCCGCCCCACCTGCCACGTATCTCCGCAGGCGTCGCAGGATTTGGCTGCAAGCATTCCCATGATTAAGCACCCTCCTCGGTGCCAGGTTCACCTCCCCGCCCTTCATCTCACCGCTGTTGCTGGTGGCGTGGTGGCACGCTCCGCAGGTGCTGGAAACCACGCGGAGACAAGGAGCACCGAGGATGCTGCACCCCGCATGGGGAGCGGAGCAAAGCCTGGAGGGGGCAACCGCTGGGCCCCGGGGGGGATCCCCAATTCCCCGTGCCAAGCAGAAAGCGACACCTCTGTAGCTCAAACCGCCTGTGTGCTTGAATGCATCGCCCCAACCACAGATCCTCAGCTACCAGTGGCCACGCTGGGGCACCTCTCACAGGCTGGCCACCCCCAAAAGACACTTTTGGAGGTGCAGACCACTCTGGGTGCTGTGTTTCGGCAGGCTGCTGGCGCAGGCCAGGGGTGTGTTGGCAGGCAGTGCCTTCTCTGGGGCTATTTGTTTCACAAGCCACTGAATTCTACTGCCAGGGAAAACGCTGTGTTGCTCTCTGCTCTGCTTTTGGGGCAACACACACCCGGGGACGGGCAGAGCAGCCCCAGTGGTGGCTGCCGAGCGTGAGAGCAGCAGCAGGGATGTGGGTGGTGTTTCGGGGTCCCCAGGTGCTCCCTCAGAACTCGCTCGCCTCCAGACCTGACCTTTGCTGTCAGTAAAACTTGCACAAACTTGTAATTGTTAACTAGTTTCCCCCATAGCAGGCTTGTTATTTTTTCAGGACAGGGTTCGAAAATGCTAGACATCTACAGTAGTAAAGATTTTATTGTGCTGGCAACAGACTGTAAAACTTGATTACATGACACTGGGGATTGCCTAAACCTCATTCTCACTGATGCAACTGCTCGGGGTCGGGGGGATGTGAGGGAGGGAGGTGGCTTTGAGTCACGTCCAGAGGTGGCTTAGCATGAAGGGCAGGAGCCAGGAGCATCCCACTCCCACCCAGATGCTCCCACCCTTCGGCCAAGGGAGCCCAATGTGGAGCTGGGGATCAGGAGGGGTCATGAGAGGCACGTGTAGCCGCAACAATAGATGAGCATTTGGCCTGTTGCTGCCTAATCACGTGAAAATCACAGGGAAGCCCAACCTGGAAGGAGCGAGCTGAGATTTTTCTGTAGAAAAAGCTTTTCCATCAAGAAATGGGCTCCCCTGTTGGCCCCCTCAGTTTGCTGCTGACATGGGAGTTTTCCCTCTAAGACAAAACTTTCCGCAGTTTATATCCATTTATATCACTGCTAGCATTTTTCATATTCCAAAGGACCATTTATGGTAAGAAAATACAGTTTCCAATAAATAATCAAAGTGATCATATTCTGGAAGGGGAAAAAAAAAAATCATAGAAGGAAACTTTTGCAAAAAGAATTGGCCCGTGCTGAACTTTGAGCCAGCATGATATCTTTTTTCCTTCCAATAAATCTTCTGGCTTATTTCTGCACCCAAACTACAGCGAGCCAAGAGGGATTCCTGACTGCTCGGGTACAGTCAGCCCTTCCCCTGCTGGGGCATACTGCTGAAATGCCACAAGCTTTCGAAGCTACCTCCGGGATTTGGTTAGCCAAGAGTAAGAGGAGCAACAGACTAAGAACATGGCACTTCCAAAGCAAAATAAAACAGCTTGCTTTGCTACATCAGTGGGGTAAGCCCTGTGGAAGGGGGAAGCCCAGCAGGGAAGGCACCCAGAAGGGAGAAGATAGTGGATAGAGGAGCCTCCTTACAAAGTCCCACTGTCAATAGAACGTGAGTTCAGGTGAGCTCAGGTAACATTCAAAAATGCAAGAAGGAAAAACCCTAAATGGCAAATCTCAGTGTGTGATTAACTTGGGGAACACCCTTCTCTGGAGCCTTTCCAAGGCGACCACTGGGCTGAGGTCCATCGGTGACCGCAGGAAAACGACTGCTAAGGGGGTTTGTCGGGTAATTCTGCAAGTCGTCCCCTTCGTGTGAGATGCTGGGTTAAGGCTCCCTGCTCTGGAGGAAGCATGAGGGGCACAAGGCCTCCGCTGCTGGCTTTGACAACCTACTTCAAATGGGGTAAAATGCCAGGTTTTACCCTGTGTAGCTGCTAATTCCTCATCTTCTCCCGGTAGAAAGAAAGTCTGAGTAAGTGAATACCCTGTACTCATATCTTGCTGAAACCTGAGACCCTTTTCATGGGTATACCACTAGGTCATTCAAGTACATCCAATATCTTTTTTGAAGCGAAGGGAGACAGAGATAGTGTTACACATTGTGCAGAAATGCTATTAACTGTAGTTGAGCATCATGACTTGGATTTATTAGTGGGAGGCCAAAAGACCTACATGGCAGGGGATGTAACTGATAACCTTGTCTTGCATCCGTTTGAGCAAATGAGTCCCCTCCCTGTATGCTCATCAGAGATTTAGCACTTCTCACGAGCCTTTTTTGCAATCGCAGTCATTTAGCAAACATATGATACTTTGCACTTAAAGCCATGACAGGGGCATATGGGACTTCCTACCTCCTAGATGCTGATGGATGGAATTGCTTTGGCTACTCAAAAAATTAAGGGTCTGGTTTGAGTCTCAAGGCATTCTGCTGATTTCGGTGAACTTCCTTCTGATTTATCCTGTGCATGGAGAATCAGGCTAATTCTAAGTTAAACAAGCAGCAGAGTTCAAAAAGGTGAAAAGGTCTCATTTTTGGTGGTGCTGAACAATTTAGTCTCAAAATTTAGAGCGATCAGAGGTTTGAAGATCATCTCATCCCCAGCATTTAAAATGGTCCTTTTCAGGCAGGAGGGAAAAAAAAAAAAAAAAAAAAAGTATACTTACTTTAAGCAGTAAAAGGTGTAATCATGCTATTGGTGGCAGAAAAGTTGAGCGCACGGGTATCAAAAAAATGGGGTAATGTTGTGAAATAGAGGGAGCTAGATCAGTTGCCAAATCAGGCCCATGAAAGTCAGTGTGTACAACCCAGGCTCATCATCTCCTATTAAAAGTGAACTGGCCAGAATGGAGATAATCAGCTACCTCCTGGTTTTCCCTGGGATTTACCAGAAATGTGTCTTGGTGTCAAAGACACAATTTCATGCAGAGCCCCAGAGAGAAGAGCTGAGGTGCCCAGAGCACTCGCCTGCAAACGGCAGAGAATGAGTCTCTGCTCTGCTTCATCCCAAACAGGAATTTGGAAGGGGCATCTGGCAGGTGAGGGAGGCGACCTGCCTTTCAGTGAGCGAAGGGGACGAGGCTGATTTTTTTCACATCTAAAATTTCAAATGCTGTAACTCTGGCCCCATGCTGAGCTAACATGACCACCCCAGGTCTCCTGCCAAATGCAGATGTTATTCTTCCCCCAGCCCAAGCTGTGGACGCGTGTGCCTCGCTGTGCGTCGCGTGGCCGGGGAGTGGGGCCGCCGATAGCCTCAGCACAATAATGTGTTTTCCTTCCTCTAACACCTGACAGTAGCATGGTCTCACCAACAACTTGGTCCCATCACTGCATACTTTCCAGGGTGATACTAATCAAACAGATTAACATGTTTGCCTTTAATTTTACATTCTAGAAACAGCTGTCGAGACACTTCAATGCCAGCAGTGCCTATTGCCAGCATCAGGGTCATTAATAATCATTGCAGCTGTAATAGCACCATTATCTCCTGCTAAAAGGGTCACTGATGGCTCAGGACAGAGCTTCTGGGAAGCAAAAACAAGTCAGATGAAATGAGATGGAAACTGCAAACTGTTGCTTCTGTCTTAACTTGCATAAAGACCTGTGGATGCTACGTAGAGGGCAATTAATGTGCACAAGCAGCAAAAAATTTGGCTAGAGTGTCATCGAGGAGGTTGGGCTTGCGCTAGCTCTTGTGTCACTTGGGCTAGTGTAAAGCATATAAATATGGGAAAGAGAGAATGGGGATATTGCTACCAACCAACTAGTCTTCATCTGACAGAGAAGACTTCTCTCCATCTCCTGCTGCCACTTCTTTGGGTAAGTCTGACTGCTGCCCTTTTAGCTTCTACCTCTTTTGCAGAGCTATTTTCTTAAGTTGATGTAACGGTGGTGACAATTGCTGGCTTGTTAGTCCAGGAAAATGAGGTCTTTGAGTACGTTGTGCTGGTTTGGGTCCATTGTCATAAATAATGGCCCCTTCTGACTTGTCAGAGAGGGTTTTTCCTCTGAAGGTGTCTGCTGGTCTCACCTCTCCCGGGCACATATGCCATAGGGCTCAGTGAGATGGCTCTTCCAGTCCAGTTTGGCCTTTTGGGGGAAGGCAGAAGGGAGGCCTGGACTGGTGTGTGCTTGTGGACGGAGAGAGAGTTCTGGTTATAATCATTAGTCATTTACTGTGACTTGTAAAAGCCGATGCAGAAAGCTCTCCTTCCCCCTCGAGCCGGGGCATCTTTAGAAGGTCTGTCTGCTACTTTGGTCCCATTTTCATGCCAAAGGAGCTGAAGGACATAAGATAATTGATGACAGCTTGTTTCTCCCTCCTAGACCTCCCTGTGTCTCCTCTGCCTCTTAACCCTAGGCCTCACCCTGCCCACCATGGCTCTCTGGATCCGATCGCTGCCTCTCCTGGCCCTTCTCGCTCTGTCCGACCCCGGGACCAGCCACGCGGCTGCCAACCAGCACCTCTGCGGCTCCCATTTGGTGGAGGCTCTCTACCTGGTGTGTGGAGAGAGGGGTTTCTTCTACTCCCCCAAAGCCCGACGGGACGTTGAGCAGCCTCTAGGTAAGTTAGGCTGGCCGTGGATGCCGTCGCATGCTCTGCGATGCAAAATGTAACAACCGCCTGTCTTTGACAGTGACACCAGGAATGTCCTTGATGGGGAATGCCAGGAATACCTTTAACATACCAACAGCATCGCCTTGCCAATGAAAAGCTCTGCAGGTTAAAAAGGCAGATGGGAGGGCAGACGGGGAAAGAGGATTTATGAGGCAAAAGGAATTGTGCCTGAACGCTCAAACTTGTCTAGTTCTTTGTGTGGCCATTACACCAGCCTGGCAGTGTTCATAGAAAATGAAGGTGGAAGGAGCCCAGGAAGCCACCTTCCACCCTAAGACAGGATCAGTTGTCCCCATCCTATTCCTGACCCATACTTGTTTGATATGTTCATAAAAGCCTCCAGTAAGAAAGCTTCTTCTGACTTCCGAAACTGCCTGTTTCCATGACTAACTAACCTTCTTCTTGTGTGTTTCTTCCCAATATCTAACCTGAACATACTTTGCTGTAAATTATTTCTTGTCTTCTCCGTAGTGGACATGGGGAAGAGTCTACTCCTTTCTTCTTTATGGCTGCTTTATGAAATATTTGAAGACTGTTCCCGTGTCTAGTTTTAACCTGCTCTCAACTAAATCCCCTCTATACTCCCCCCACTACCTTCTTAGGTCATATTTTCTAGACCTCTGTCCATGCAAATTGTTCTGCATTTGGTCCACATCCTTACTGACTCGTGATGCCTGAAGAAGTGCACGGGACCCCAGCTGAGGCCTTGCCAGTGCCAAGTACAGTGAGCAGACTGGAAGAACAATATTGCACGTTTTTGATACCATGTTCACGTCTACACAGGTGGTTTGCCTTTTTCAAACAGCACTGCACCGCTGATTGATGGTGATCACTGCCTCCCTCAGATACCTTGGCCCTCCCTTGGGTGGATCAGCAGTCCCTGAAGGATGGCAACCACAGTCAAACCCTTGTCCTGGATGTGTAACACAGTCTTCCTGCCTACCTCTACCATCTTTCCCATTTCTTACTGAACAGCATCCCATCTTTTCAGTGTTTCTATAGTTTCAAAGGTAATTTTTAGTACTAATCTTGACTTTCAAGAGGTTTTCAGCCCCCACAGATTTATATCATCTCTTTTTTTTTCACGGTGGTGAATTGCTGGTGGAGCTGCTTTGGTTTCCCTCCTTAGGGGGGGACCACCGATGAGTGCAAGAGCCAGGATGCAGGAGATGACAGCCTTGCCTGCGCAACCCTGCGGTGCTGAGTCATTGCCCCTGGTCCAGCACTTTGTGTCTGCATGGTAATGCAAGTGGGATGAGACAGTCCAGAGAGCTGCCTTTCAACATGGTGCTTGTATCTAGGTGAGGCCAGGACCTGTAACACTCTAGCTGTAAGGCAAGGATGATGTCTCCCCTGGAGATTGGTACCTGTAGCTCCTCGCAGCTTTGGCTCCTCTATGAACCCAGCAAACACACTCCCTCTTCTCTCTTCCAAGCTACTAATAGAGACTGTGAATAGATGTAGGAGACTCCTGCCAAATCCCAGCCATTTCTACCCTTTCGCTTCAAGATGGACCACTACTTAACCTCCCCTGACCATGATACACCTCTCCCAACATTTCTCTTCCCATCACACACTGGTTTCATTTCTATCCTATCCTTCTCCTGCATATGTAACCATCCCATGAAATAGTCTTAGAGGTCTTCAGAAGGTGAAGCAAGGTAATGTCATAGCAGAGGGTTTGACATGATTTGTTCTGAGTGGCCAGCTGGGCTGTTAGTTGCTCCTTTCTCTGCTTATTTATTTCTGAAGACCGCCATAAATGGGTTGGAAGTGTCGTTAGCCAAATTCCCTAAATACTAAGGAGAATTTCATCAGGGCCAACCGGTTTGAAAGCATCTGAGGACTTTCCACCTCTTTTTCCAGGAGTTTTGCCTGAGCTGCTATCTCTTTGCCACACAAACTGGTTGTTTACAGTTTGCTCACAGCTGGCTTGAAGGATGAAGACAAGTAAATCACAAAACATTGACTAGCTATTTCCTCTTCTACTTAATGTTGGACTAAAGCTTTCCTAAATTTTCCTCCTAGCACACTACCATAATGATTTCTTGTTACTCTTGTGCCTTGTTCATTGCATCACGCTTTGGGGGCTTGGGGATTTTGCATCTTGTGCTGTACTTTCATATTGCCCTAGAAACCACATCTCATTCTCACTTTCCAGGCATTTTCTTTTTGTTGTTAGGGGATCTTTTCTTCCTACAGGAAAAATCACTGTTTTATTTGCCATTTTCTATATTTTCATTGGGCAACTAAAACCTGAATAGTTCTGTCCACAAGTTTTCAAGTTGCCACCAGCAAAGGAGACATTCTGTTGAGTTTTGTCTGTGTCCGAATACCCCAATTCCTTCTAAAAACTCATCCCCAGCTGTGAACACGGACACACATGAATGCTTTTGCTGCCGGCTCAAGGCTACATCCAGGCAGCCAACAGGAGCAGGCTGTTCAGGACCAGCTGGCAAATGCACCCAGCCCCAGGACTGGACTGTCCTTGTAATACCACGGACATCCCAGTTGTTTGCCCAGGCTCCCAGGAGAGTGGGTAACTGCCCAAGGAGGGGCTGCAGTCCCAAGCAACTCATCTCTCTGGAGCAGACCAGCTCATTTTATCATCTTGCTTACTACCTGCTCACCCCAGGGAGGGTGCAGGGTTGCTCTTCTTCTCCACACGCCTCCCTCAGTAAAGGCCCTGTAGCCCTTAGGCCCTCACACTGCTGAGATCCACTCAGCTTGGCTCTTTCTGAGCACCATATGAGTATTTTGGAAGAGGAAACACAGAACCTGAAGGTGCTACAAGTTACAACTTCCCATTTTCCAGCCAACTCTGGCTTAAAAATGTGGTGTCTGCAAAGGGGGTGTCTGCAGGGCTCCACAGCCAGTCCCGATGCTGTGTGATGTCCCACAACTTATCCTTTTCTTCCCTGGCAGTGAGCGGTCCCCTGCATGGTGAGGTAGGAGAGCTGCCCTTCCATCAGGAGGAGTTTGAGAAAGTGAAGCGAGGGATCGTTGAGCAATGCTGCCACAACACGTGCTCCCTCTACCAACTGGAAAACTACTGCAACTAGCGGCGAGGCCAGCGGCGGAGAGCTCGCGGGCCACTGGTAGAAACACGCACTTATGCTACTGCACCTTCAAAGCAATTGAATAAATGTTGTGGGTCTATTCGAAGAACTGTGCTGGTTCATGCGTCCACGTCTTGGGGAGGAGGCACTGATGTTTACTTTAGGGTGTTGTCACCTGCGCTCGGGTAAAGCAGTCTTAAAGGGTCCTGGGGCCAGCCATCACTTCACGCTCTCCTTCTGCCATCCAAATGAACCTCCTGGGAAGGAGGGAGGAGGATTATGCAGCGCCAGAGCGGGTATGCAGAGCACCCAGTACCCCCAGTACCTGGGGGGTGAGGAGGAAGGGGCAGAGAGGCTTGAACGAGATTTCTCTTTCTAGGGAAACATTACGGGGGAAATATCTGTGGCAATGTCATGCTGATCAACTTCCTGCAGTTCACAGCCCAAATATAGCCAGGCAGCTGGGAGACTGAACTTCCTCAGCTGCGTAATGGAAACAGTTGGGATTAAGCAAAGAATTAAGTCACCTATTAATTGTACCCAGAAAAATCGTGGTAAAATGACTGCCACGACCAATTTAGACAGAGTGTCCAGTTCCCCCTTCTGCTTGTGGGAGGTCCAGGCGGAGTCCCTGCTGCGGGACGTGCTTGTTGTTCACAAGTATTTGACAAGTCACATTCAGAAAGTGGATTTAATCCAAAAGGAGTTTTGAGTGTATCGGCCAAGAGCTGGGCATTTCAGAGCAGCATCCCTGCTCCTGTTGCTGCAAACTTCTTTCAAGCACCTGGTCCCTAAATTGCCACTTTCTGGGAGGAAAAACTGCCACGGCAATGCCAGCTGGCCAGGGTGGCAGAGAGTGTGGGGAAGGGTCATGTCCCCTCTGCCAAGGGACTCCCATGCCACCAGTGTAATGGAAGGAGGTCTCCGTGGGATGGGCGCAGCCTGGCAGAGGTGGCAGCAGTGGCTGGGACTGCATTTTGCTGGTAGCAGATTTTGAAAGCTGGTCTGAGAGGAGGCTGTGGTTTTAAGAGCCTCTTTTCCCAAACCAGATCTGACTGCCTCCATCGGAGCCAAGCAGATAGAAGCTGCTATCTCATCCCTGCCAGGATGTGCTGCTCCCCCTCCTATCATGAGCACAAAACTGGCAAAACCACTGAAGGGCTGGAAGAGCAGCCAGAGGAGCCGCTGAGAAGGAGACACAGCCATAAAATAGGAAATCAGAAAGCATGAGCCTCCACACGGGCTCCCTTGATGCATCCAAGAGCCCGTGACAGGAGCCCCCTCCTGCAGCTGCCACACCAGTGCTGCTCCCCCTGACCGCCCTTCCATCCCCTTCCATCACCCCTTCCTCTCGGCCCTGCTGAATATTCCCAGCAGCAGAGCTTGCAACTGTGACAGGCAGCCTTGGGCCAAAATCTTGTGGTTATGAACGCATGGCAAGATGTTTGCTGCTTCTGAGCTACTTGTCTCCCACCAAGCCTCACAGCACATAGCTCTGGTGGTTTCTAGAAACAATTCTCCTACCTGTGCTGGTGCCCCATGAGATCAGGACGGGTGTCACTCCAGTAAAAATAGCAGAGCTGTTGCACATGGTAAGGCCACCATCATACTCAGGCACTCAATGGATTTCCAGCAATCCTATACATCCCCCCACCCCAAGGCTGTGCCGTCCTGAGCCCAAAGGCAGAGCGTCAGGTCCACTTGCACGGTCTGGAGGGAAAGCACATCCAAGAGAAGCTCTCCCCTCCACAGCTGAAAAACCAAGACTTGTTTGTTGGCGTCACCCGGACTTGTCCTGCACACCTAGGCCTGAGATCCTGCACTCAGCATCAGGGGTCCATGGAAAGCAAATGAGCAGAGGCTCTTCTGAGACAAGATTGAGACTTTCTAGTGTAAATTTGAGATTTAATTCTGTACCTACCTGACAAAATTGTACAGGTCTGCTGATGGGAAAAGTTGGAAGTATGAATATTGGAAGAAAAAGAGATGGTGTAGGAGGAGCCTTAAGTGCCTGACTGCCAGAGTGGTCGTAGCACTTCTCCAAGTGCTGAACAGTGGTGATGGAAGCAGCTGAAAGAAGAATGATATAGTCAAATCTGTGGAGATAGCTTTGGCTTCCCTAGGAATGGGGAGCATGGGTCATGTCAAGAACAGACACAGACTGCAGAAGTCTAGAGCCCTCACTCATAATTTCAAAGCTGCATCTTGCATTACAGAGATAGCCTACATGTGTTCAGCACCAAAGGGACCAGCAGAAACTTACAGCAAGGTCAAGATCCCGCAACAGAGCATGTTGGCTCCTGCATCCCCCCCCCCCCCCCCCCCCGAGCTGTTTATCTGCTGGCACTCCTGCCCGGGCAGCGATGCTCGGGCGAGGACAGCTCTTCAGAGGTGCCCAGCTCGCTTCCTGCCTTCTGCCATTGTTTGGGTTGCTTGTTTGTTTGTTTGCTTTTTCTGAATGCTCTCAATTAGGACTGGTTGGGAAACTGCAAATGCCACGTTTTCTGCCGGAAAATGTCTATTCATCAAAACCAGCACTTCCCACAGGACCCGACTGGTTTTAACAAGGCAAGATTCAAAGGGATGAAGGGAGGCGGGAGGTTCAGGTGCCCGCTCTGCGGGCATCAGAGCAGGGATTTTGCCCTCCGCGCCTGATTGCCCAAGACTACATGCTAACTGCCAGGCTCTGGGCTACCCTGGGGTGGGACTCATCTCCTTCTGCTGAAAAATTCCAGGAGGTTTCAACAAACACAGTGGGAATTGTTTTGAAATCTTAAGATGGGGCAGGACCATCCTCTTCTACCCAGCTCAAGATGCAGTCTGGTATTTTCTCGGCAGGTTTGGATGCTGGGTGAGATGGGGGCCTGGACACACCAGCAGCCCAGCTAGTGATTATCCAGTGTTGGAGTAGAAGAGAGAAGGATGAGGAGCAGAAAGGAGCTGTGATGGACATTCCCCATCATTCCTCTGCCTTTGTGCCTCCTGGGAAAAGAAGTCGGCAGGTCCCTTGGTGGAGAAGGGAAGAGGAGGGAATGGTGACCGCCTAGGGCTGGGGAGGGAGGGGTGGCCCCACATCTGCTTTGGGGATCCAGGCACTCTGAGCTCTGTGCAGAGCACATGCGGCTGCCTTTGCTCCCTTCTTCCCCAAAGTGAGAGCTGTTCCGGGGGCATACGGCATACAGTGAGCTACACCGCTCTCCTGGAGGTGCAGGAGAAAATACTGCATCAATTTAAATGCTGTAGAAAGCCTTAAAAAAAAAAAAAAAAAAAAAAAAAAAAAAAAAAGTCCTTATGAATACACTTTGCTTTCCAGAACTGAAAATAGCATAAAGGGCTATCTTTTCACTTTTTAAAAGCTGCAGCAAGGTGAAGACCAAAGGAGAAGAAAGGTACTTTTTCCCCTTTTTTCTGGGACTCCAGGGAAGGAAGCCTGAAGGCAACCCTATGCACTTTCCACACTGGAGCACACGGCTCCTTGGCTTGCTGACGTGATGCTGCCAGCTTGCTGACCCTGCGCTGTGGCAGGGCGGGCAGCTTTAGCCCCCTACCCCACACAAACCTGAGGATAGGCAATAGCCCAGGGTGTCCTTAACTGTGGTCCAGGATGGAATTTCTTTATAAAGGCCCCCTCAAACCCCTGCACCCTTGTCCAGGTCATTCCCTGCTCTCAGACGTGCTTGGGAGATGCCAGACCTTATGAATTCCTGCAGGAGAAGTGACTCAGGGACAGGGAATGCTGCATCCATTGACCTCCCTCCCCGCTCCTCCTCCTGCCAGGCTTTGCATTGTGATCTTTGGGAAGCAAATGCATCCATCCCCCTTTATTCTGACTCAGCAGTTGCTTTGAAGTGATTTTTGCGGTAGCGGTGGGGCATCATGCCCGGCTAAAATATCTTGGCTCTGCTGCTCTCGCAACAAACTTCCAAAGGTCTCATGCTAGCGGTGGAGGGCAATTTGAAGAGAATGCAAATAAAGGCTTCGGTTCATTCATGCTGCTTGAATAGAGAATGGAAAGCTGAGACGCGGAGGGGATTGCAAGACAAATTCTTTGGGCTGCCGAGTTGTTAACGCTGCCTAGAAAAGAAAGGACCAAAGTTGCCCCTGTTTCCCGTGTGCGTGAACCTTCACCAAAAAGGGCTCCGCTCCGGTTTGAGGGAAAGGGGGAGTGTTGTGCACAGAAATGGGAATGGAGGGGATGTGGGGCACCGACCGGCGGGGTCCCGGGGGGCTGGGTGACAGACCATGTCCTCTGGGCTGCTGGATGGGCTGCGCTGCTCCAGCTTATCTGGAGAGGAAGGGAAGGCTGCCACTTTCCCGGAGCTAATCCGACTGTATTATTTCCTTTTCCAGGAAGCCACAGATAGAAGAATGCTGTCTATTACCCTGGGAACTCAGAGATTCACTTTATGTAAGAAATAGCCAGACTATACCCTGGGATTTTTAGGGTTTTTTTTGTAATCATCTTATCAACTTTTCAGGAAACTTTAAACCTGCTCACAGTCTCTCTCCTTATCTGCAGTGTGATTCCTTAATAACTGACTTGCAGTGATGACTGAGTTGGAAAGCATGCGCTGAGCAGATTCAGTGTTAACACCTCAAATTCCCTCTGATTTAGACCGACCTCACCAAAGACACATATTTTGAACAAAAAAGAGCCTTTCTTCTTTCTCCTTTCACCCTGGGCAGGAAGAGAGCTTTAGGTCAGGCTATAAATTGATCTGGAAAGTCATTGCCAGCGCACTGTCTCTGGGTGAATTACTCCTGCGTGCCGGGGGGAGGAAGGAGGCCGTTTTTTTCCAAGCCCAATGCCAGGCTGGCTCTCGCGTCCCCCCGGCCCTGTTGGGCAGAGCAGGCGGGAGCAGACCCGGGACAATAACGGGAAATGAAGCAAGCCCACAGGAGCGCACAAGGAAACGATCCGAGCCTCACTCCTTTCCCTCCATCTCCAGACAGCTTCAGGAGCAGCAGTGAGAGAGGTTGATGAACCATTTGGGCTCCTCCAATCTCCTTTCTGTTGTTGAAAGAGCTGGCCAAAATATGGCACTTTTTTCCTGCCCGGTAAATGCCAGGATTTCCAGGAAGCTTGTGGTTGCTCACACTGAAATT